AGGCTGCCGCGTCGTCTGCTTGGACTGGCAATGGCGCCAAGGGTAGCTCCCAGAGCGATAGCGGCGCTGAGAACAACGGCTTTGTCTCTGTTGAGCCCCTTGATACCTTCAGCAGCAACACTCCCGCTGCCGCCCAGCCTGCCAAGGCCCCTACCACCGAGGCCAAGAAGCCCCAGACCTGGATGTCCTCCCTCCCCACTGAGGAGGAGCAGATGCAGCTCCTCCGTGACGAGGAGGCCTGGAACACCGTCCAGACCAAGAAGTCAAAGTCCAAGAAGAACAAGGCCTCTGCCACTGATAGTGCCAATGAGTCCGAGTCCGCGGCGGCCAAGCCCCAAGAGGCTTTTACCCCGGTTGCCACCAAGCCTCAGGCTGTTAACGGCAACAAGTCCAAGATTGTCTACCAACAGTCTTCCTTTGCTGCCCTGAGCCCGAAGGAGGAGGAGGGCGAACCTGAGCTCGTCGAGACGGAGTGGGACGTCTAAACCTGATCAGTCAGTGTTCTGGGTATGCGACCATTGGTACGAAAAGGGGGGAAACGGATTGAGGGGGTTAATAAGCTCTATCACTAATCAACATGTGCTATTTGCGTCATTGGGGTGGATGTGCGAAGGAGGATGACGAGGATGAGGAGGGTACTCGTGTTATGTGTTCACGTCGCGGAGTTGATCTGCTTTATCATTTGATCATGGGGTTTGCTGCCATTTATACAAGACAAAACGTTTGGCTTTTCAGAAGGAATCGCGTGGGCTGGGCGAGGAGTCTTATGTATGTATATTAACGTCTTTTAAAAAAAGGATGCCATGCGACGGGAGTAGATCTTGGCCATACCCTGCTTTTCCGCATGTGCCTTCCTCGCCTGTGTGCTGGTTCTTTGATCTAGGAGGTTGGGGTAGTTGAAATCAACTTGGCGACAACAGTTAGTAGAACTTGGACAATACCTATTCTAGTAATCCAAATACCTGCCTCTAAGAATTCGAGTTTCGTGATGATACAAGGATGTCATTCCCCTCACGGCCTGACAATGGCGATTATGTCTTTCTCACGGCGCTTTGTTTGAAGTACGGGTACGTCTTCCACTTTATAATCCCGCCTGTCGAGCTTCGAGCAATTCCATCCCCATTGACGATCCTCGCTTATTCTCGGCGAGGGTTTCGACCAATGTGCCGATTGGACCTTGCACGGAGAGACGGGTAACCGGCAATGGATCGAAACAATTTGGACATCATCTTTGAAACCGAGCCAACGAGCCATTCGGCCAAAACCTTGATGAATGTACCGCTCTCCAACGCTGCCGCTCTTCAAGCATCAAGAACCCCTCCTATGATGGCGGGATATGTTTGGTAATTGAAGCTCGGCACGTACGTGTAGTGTAGCCCTGGTTCAAAACGCATCGACATCCAACAAGAAGGAACACCAACAAGCCAACAACCGAGACCGTCAAAATCTCAGCAGGCGAGAATTGGTGGCATGGGGGTCTCTGACCCTTTGTAAATATATCCGCTGTTGGCTTCGCTCGCTTTGCTAATTTCGTACATATCATGGACTGGGATCAGCCAGTCATGACTAGGTACAGTAGAACTGAATCCTTCGATAGCTTTTCCATAGTATCTATCATACGGCATGTGAAATTGTGACACTTTGCAATCAATCAATTGGGACAATTGAAGACAATGAATCAACGAAGGAGCATATGCCTGACAAGATTACGCCGAACGTATTCGTGTATGTATGTACAATGAAATCGCCCCCCGTCGATAATGACGTTGTCTTTGGGTTTTTCAACGAACCCACGCTCCCAGTCAGTCGGCGGCATCAGTCATTTCAGGGCCCCCTTTATGGACACTAACAACTGAAGACTCGGAGAATACCTACACTACACGTGCCGTTAGATCTGGGTTCCATGGTGAGTGAGATGCCCCCGAGATTAAGAGATTGGAGATTGCCTTTTATTGACCAAATACAAAAAGGAACCCGGCAAAGCGAAGAGGCGTGCCGGTCATGTCGTTCCCACTCGCTCGCTGCACAAGAAAGATCACCCACCCAAATTGCGTGGAACACTTCGATGCATGTTTCCTCGGCAGCGCCAGGCTGTGCACGGCCAAGCGTTGTCTTGGCGGTGCCACGGTGCCTGGCCTCGTCGCGGATTGTGGGGTATGGAATCTTAATGGTTCCAATTGGCTGGACGCAACTTTTGACGGGGTTCGGCTTGGGGCGCCTGTGGATCCGTCCAGCCGTCCAGCCGTCCACACTCACCCCCCCTGGTGCGTCCGTGGTGGTCCCTTCGTTCAACTTCTTCCTTTCCCTTTTGGCTGGCTGGCTGGCTGCAGTGCTCCCCGACCTCCGGTGCGCGCTCCCTCCTGCCACACAATCATTCTCATACACCCCTGGTTTGTTCGCCAAGCCCCTGGGTTCCCACTCATGGTTGGACAGGGAAACGGGTTTCATCCAAGCCCGCCTCGTTCCATCAGCTTTTGGTCGCAAATTGGGATTGGGAACAAAGTCCCTGACTGTCGTCGATGGTGTAACTGGCCCCCCCATTCTTTTGCCCACCCGCCTCATCAGATCCCATCTCCATGGTTCATTGACTCCATTCCCTTCTCCCTCCCGTTTCGTTTCCAATCTTACCGCGCATTCTCTTGTATGATTGTTACCGAACGGACTGGAAAGTAAAGAGGTCCCGTCATTACTTCCACATTTCCTCCACTTGCATCTACCTAACGTTGGCTGCGAGTTCCGATCTTGGCTCCCGCGATTCTCTTTCCACTTATTCTTCCATTTCTGTTTTTATAAGCGACCGGCCTAGTTCGCTCTACCTAGCCATCTGCATTTCGCCCCCTTTTGTGCTCCAAGGTCTGGGCAATTGGCAATCAAGCAATCAATCTTGTGCAGCTCTCTCTGCCTCGCTACCTGGACAACTAACAGCGTATACATTTGCATGTACACTCGGGTTTTTCTGTATCCGCGCAACAGTCTTCACCAACCACTTGTACGTTAACGTGAGTACGCCGGGCAGCAGAACCTTGACGGTCCCCCCTGCCAATGCCCGGGTGCGACAACAACGCAACTCTTCACCTCCTCCCGCTGTGATTTGGCAGACGTGGATCCATCAACATCCACAGCATCCTGCGCCATCCATTGCCAACGACGACTGAGCAGGGCACACGACGCACATCTGACCTTCTACAAACATTGGGTTCCTCCTTACCTAACCTACCTGCTTGCCAGTAGGGCCCTGCGGAAGAAGCGAGCCGGCTAGGGTTGTTGGGACTTGGGAAGCGCAAGACAGGCCACCACCCACCACCAAGCCATCGCATTGCCGGTACACCGCAACCACTCGCAACTCCAGCTCACTGGTAGACGAAAGCCAGCTTCCGTTTTCACCCACGCGCCTTGCATCCCCGGATCCTCCGCTACCAGTCTTGTTCTGGCCCTTCAATACTACCCCCTATACCGCCGTCAACAGTTGCCCCCCGAAGAGCAACTTGTCCACATTAACTACCATCACGCTCGTCACGATATCTCATCATTACGATTAATCCACATCCCGAGAGCGGCTTACTCACTAGTGTAGCTTTGCGGACTTTATGAAATACACACAATTGGAAACCCCATCGCGATCTCTGCTATAGTCTCCAACGGCTCCTCCGGACCCCATCAACCGTGACGACGACGACCCCGCTCCCACGAACCAGGGACACCTTGCCGAAACCTCCCACGTTTGGGATATATGGTCTCGGTATATCGATCCGGTAAAAAAAAAATATCTATAAGCAGCAAAAGGAGGACCGACAAAGAGGGAGTGTCAAGGTTGGGAGAGAACGGCCAGCACTGGCCATAGTGCTAGCTGAGGATGTCTATCTGCGTCGCCATCCAGTCGGCCTTGTTCTACTATCTCGCCTGCACCCCATGTCTCCAACTTCGTCATGAACACCGGACACACAAGAAGGCAAAGAAGGAGAGGAAGGAAAAGGCACGGATCATCGCCGAGCAGCCGCACCTATATCGCCATCCGGACCCCTATAATACGAACCCTTACTGGGCCGAGGAGATTCGCATGGGACCATGTCTACCCAAGAAGAACAAACCGAACGATGCCAGCAAGAGTCAGAGTCAGAGGGGCTTGATGTGTGAAAGTCGAGATGGAGTGAGCATAGCAACTGGGAGTACACATGCAATTAGCATGGCGCGGCCGACGACAGCGACGCCAATAACACCGACAACAGAGGAAACCAGCACTAAGCCTGTTGGTTTTGTCACCCTCCACTCGCAGAAGTAGTAGCAGACCTAGCAACAGACGCGGAGACGGAAACTGTTAGACCAGATACAAGGGGGCCATCCCCTACTTCTGTGGCTCCAGAACAGCATCATGACGATGCTGTTAGTGCCGTACTGAGCAAGACGGCTTCTGCGACCACGGTCGGCACCGACTGGAACATGAAGCGGTATCAGCGCGAGGACGAGGAACTCTGGGGCTACGATGACGAGTCCATCAGGACAAGTTATAAGCTTATGGACGCCATCAAGCAGGCTGGATCGAGCGCTGGTCGCTATGTTGAATCCAAGCTGGGGCTCGAGAAGCAGGTGACGGAGGAGGATAGATACAACTTTTACTTTTCCACCAAGAACCCACCCGTCAACGACTACCATCCCCCGGTTGTCAGCAGCAAGCCGTCGCACAAGAACGCGCGTGCCTGGATGTTGCAGCCCCCGCCTTCCGCCAAGGTAATGGAGGGCAAGGTCCCCGTGACCAGGAGCGCCAGCCTGATGAGCGTTCAATCCAGGAGGACGATGGGCAGCAGCATGTCGATGGAAGGACGGCCATCGCTGGGGAGAATTGTCGGTGACAAGGCTCTCGAGGCTAAGATTCAGCAGCGAACTGCCAATGGAGACGGATATTTGGACCCCGAGTTGTATTCGGTTGCCTCTACCATGTCCCGGGCCATATCTAAGAGAGCCACCAACGGTTCCATGGCACGGAGAACCAGCAGCCGCCTCACCACCAGAAGCCAGGACCTCTCGACGGGCTCTGACGGATCCGACGAGGATAACTCGAGCATCAAAGTGCCAAAGAGGCGGACCACCCGGAGACGCAGCAACCGCAACGTCATGCCCGACAGCGACGAAAACGAGGAGGAGGACGCCTACATCTCCAGGAGCCTGGAGTCACTAAGCAGCACCCACTTCCCTCCCCACGCCGCCCAGAGGCCCAAGCTCCCCACCATCAAGAGCGCCGACGATGGTCGTCTCGCCGCTGAGGATAAGACTTTGTCTTCGTCTCCGAAGGCCAGGCCCACCAGCAGATCCAGCACCAAGCTTGTCCTGCAGGATGCGACTAACTCATCGAGCTCCATGTCTTCTTCCTCTAATAGGATGAACCAGAAGGAGCGCATGATTGGCTCCATTGACAGCGGCCTTGCTCTGCATGCGTAATCGGGCCTCAGGCGGTCTATATGTATGTTAGAGAGTGTGTGTGTCAGGTGGGACAGCTACGGATGGACGAGCAATTCTCCCGTTGTCGCTGCTATCATCGTTCCTGTTGTCATCCAGAACCAAAAGCCTTGCGTTTCATGTGTGTATTTCCTCTCCGTTGTACGGTTATCCTAACGCACACGGGCTCACTCGCCTTCATAAACCCGGGGCGCTTTCAAGTCAAGTCAAGTTTTTTAAAGTCTAGCATAGCCATGCCATTATCGTTTGTTTTTCTCTTACTGCTCTTTCGTGCCTTTGTTTTCTTTTCTTTGCGAGTCCCATCCGTGTACACAGAGAGCATTACCATAGCATGATTGGCACGCGTACGTGTCTATTCACCTACCTACTTACCTACCTACCTATCTTTGTTGTTCATTCAAGATACTTTGCATGGGAAGAAAAAAGGGTGTCGCTCTTTGTGGTTGCTGTTGCGGTTGTTGTGGTTTTCTTTTTAGACAGACAGAGGTTCCGACTCCATGGAATTGGAATCATCTATTTTGGTTGATCAACAAACCAACATGTCATGTCGGTCGGTGTCAGGCGTTTCAGGGGTTGAGGGAAAGGGAAGGAAAGATAAGGGAAGGAAGCAGGGACTCGGAAGGTGTTGAGATTGAACTGTGGCTGAGAAGCCTGCCTGACTGGAGACAGCTTTCTGTACCCAGACAGGCAGGCAGCCAAGCAGCCAAGACAGCAATTGACAACAATTGGATTCCATTGACCGGTGCCTGAAATACTGTGACATCTTTTGAAGTTACCTTACCTGAAGCAATCGCTGATGTACTCTTAAAAGTAAGGATGAGAACGGGTGCAGTAAACAAGTTTATTGTAGGCCCAGGGTGTTCCTTTTTTACTATTGTCTCCCTGGTTGTGACTCCTTAATTCTCACCAGCTCCTTCTTGTTCGTAACTTTCGTTTCTGCGACAATTGAAGGTTGCGGTTGCCTCTTTTAAGCTCTTTGGTGGCGACGGGATGCGTCCCTCCCTCCTTCCTTCCTCCCTCTACCCAATTTGTCTCCTATCCGTCCGACCTCGCCCACCTCACGTAACCAGTATGCAACTTCCTTCGTTACCATCAATTTCCCACGAACACAGGAGAGCCACCGCCTCCCGACTCTGAACCCTGATCTGTCCCGGCTTGGGCACCCGACTTCAGCTTCCGACTCACACACCCCAAATCAACCTTCACCAGCATCTTTCCCCGTCTTCCACTTTTCTCAGCCTCTCGCCAGAGAAGTTCGTCGTCACATGTGTCTCTCGTTAACGGCTGTGATATCCCGATAGCAACGCCAATAAAACCCAGACCTCTATTACACAATGGTAATTGTCCGCCTCCTACCCCATTCCGGGAACGGCCCGTCATCATCCCTTCCACTTGCTTTGGTGAACAATCCCTGGAAATCTGGCATCAAGTCTGGGTCATCGTACGCACAGAACTCCTCTGGTACCTGAAACCGCCCGACCCGTTTGAAGACATCTTCTTTTTTTCCACTATCATCCAGCCGCTCCAGAATCAAGCCCACGGCGGACGGTCGTTCCGAGTCATAGATGACAGGGAGATAAAACCAAAGTCCTCTGCCCAAAGGGATATCCCGCTCCGTGATCAGATCCAGGTTATAACTAACAGCGGTCCCGGATTTCAAGAAGCCGTCATCAGGAGTCCAAACCAGATGGCCGTCCATCCGGTCCCTGTCGACGGGTCTTCGCCGACCTCCATCGTATCGCTATCGAGAAGGTGAGCCCGGATACACAACGATCTGCCCTTCACCGCTCCAAACGGGCAGCTTTCGTCGACAAGCTTGGCCTTGGCTTCTAGAACCTCAATGAGGACCTGTTTCTTCTCCTTGTCATCATGACTCGAAGGAAACTCGGGCTCGACGGCTCCGGAAATGGAAGCCCAAGACCAGCTGGGGGGACCGCTGAGCTCCGTGAGGTCAACAACCGTGCCACTACTTACTCTTCTCCAAAGCAATTGTCGGACAAAATCGCTTTGCCAGAGACCGGCAATGTACTGAGAGTCAATCATGTGGTTGGCTAAGTTCTCTGTCACGCCGGATATGGCCACCAGTCTGTCACGGGCGGGAAAGGACAGTTCGAGTCTCGAGTATTCCTTCAGCGCGCGATTCCAAATGACAAGGGCGTCGACAGTACTGCTATCTTTGTCTGCTCCCCCGGGAACATCATGTGCGTCTACCCGTGGTAGTAGCTCGCCACCACCTTGTTTGAGTGTGTTGTCCGGCAATGTATTTCTGTACCAGCCAGTTCCCTTATACCAGCCGCAGTTGGCAATCACAAAGGGTATCGTCGTGGTCCAAAGCATGGGGCAACCCCAGGGGAAAACTCTCGGAGGCCCGAAGTTCGTGGCACTCCCAATACAGCTGGTTCGAGCAACAATGTATGATGCGAGGAGAAAGCATCCGCTCTTGGTAGACCCAGGCCCGCTTGTACAGCGGGGCAAGGGTAACGGTCTTGGGAAACCGCTGAGTATTGCTTGCGGCGTAGTAGTTGCCGGAAAGCTGCTCCCAGTCGACATGAAGGCGGAGAGGACGGACGGCTGAGGGATCGCGATCGAAGAAACAGCCCTGTGTCTCTTCCTTTGCGTCTGCCGCAGCAATGTTACAGTACGAGTTCGTGTAGACTGCGTTCATGTTGGCAGACTCGCGACGCCAATCCTCCTCAGAGTCTTGGATGATGCAGATTGAGTCGATCCAAATGTATCGGAGGCCAAGGCGCCTAGTCGCTTCCAATGCGTCTTGGAAAACCCGGGGCAACGCTGCCAGAAAAATTTCCTTCGTTAGCTCCAGAAGATTGTCCTTGAGAAGCTTAAATGGCGGATGAGAAGACCAGCAGTGGCTCAGCGTTGCGTAAGGCTCCCGTGGGGTATCTACAGTTACCACAAGGAGCCGAGGTGGATGAACAAGAGCATCATCGCCAATGCCAGACCCCACGCCGATCACTCTCGTGGGAAGTGGTGGTGGGATGGAGGAAGAGTTATGTGCAGAAGGATTGCATGCCTGATGGCTTGATACACAGGTAGTCGCCCACTTGGCCGCTAGTTGCCAACTGAGATCGGAACCGGTGTTAGAGTCGAAGGGGCCGGGATTTCCGACGGCTTCGTCTACATGCCGTAGTCTCTCCGCTTCAACTTTATACGTTCGGTTCCGGCCTTTACCCGTGGGCGATATGTCGGCATCAGGGTCTGCACATGGTACATGATTAGTAGGTTTTTGCGAACGTTAAATCTCATATGGGTTGGTGTAGTTACTACCTACGTTTCTCGGTTATGAGCGTGAACTTGCTCATCAGCAGACGCCGGGGTCCATATGTATCCCCTTTATCATACTGCACCTGGAAATAGGCCTCGCAATGCTTTGGCAGGCCCGGGGGTGACAGCCGGAATCGTCTAACAACAGTGACGCGCTTCAGGGTCGGGTTTTCTTTGAGTACTCCGTCGAGCGTTCCTCGACGGCCGCATCTGAGAAAGTTCTGACAGACAGGGCAAGTGCTGTCAAATATGCTCACCTTCAAACGATCCCGGTCATCGGTGTCATCGGTTACCTCTAGCTCCGTGAAGACTGATCTGGTCCAGTATTCGGTGTTCTCTCGGCACGTTCCCGTACGTAGTTCGCCGGTTGCGGGGTCCGTCACCGTTTGTGACGTTCCTTCCTCACCGGCCACCACACGCTCATGGGTAATTTTGACGGAGCCATCATCACACGCCGCCGCGTGTTGGTCGACCAAACATTGGCAGGCCGAGCACAGCGCGTCATTGTCTGTAGTGTATGCGGCGGAATCCCATTCACTAGAGATACTTTGCCATAATTCCTTAGCAGCTGCGAGTGATACCACGGATTTCGTGCTGATGTGTATGTATGGTTGAATGGAAACTTGGAACGCACCTCATTTTTCATTTTGGACCGATGTTATGTTATGTCATATTTGCATTGCGAAGAATGCAGAAAAAACGAGAGAAGAGATATCTATATTGCACTGTTTCTGACACGATGGCAGTCTAATTATAGCGGAGAAGACTGGCCCGGAACGAGAAGAAAATACGCAATAGATACCTAAATGAAATATGTTCTGGAAAGCGGCACACGTCCGTCAGCACTAACACACCATTCAGCGGTCGAGTTGGTGTAAGGCTTGACGAGTGAGTCCTTTCTTTTTTTTTTTTTTTTTTTATGTGTCTTGAAGTAAAAGAAAAGGAGGAAAAGACAGAGGTCGCTTCGGCAAAATCAAGACATTATAAAAAGGGAAGCTCTATCCGCACGTGGAGAAAACTCTATTCGTACGTGGATCCACTTTAGGTTTGTTTTCAAAGCCTACCTTATAAGAACGGTAACAGCATTCTATAGTAGGAAGTGAAAAGAGTACTGGAATTTTTAGTGTTTTTCAACGGATTTTTTTAATATTTGCAGAGCAGCCCCCGAGCGAGCCTGTCAGTAATCGTTAACAGTGTGTCACTGACCTTCTTCTTCATGCTAGAGTGTACGAGCGTACTGCAACGTCAAAATAATGGTACATCGATGTATGGGTATTATAACTGTAGCAGAATGGGGTATTTAAGCAAAACGTAAGAAAGGATCTCAAACATGGGGGGGATTTGAGGCGCGCGACGGCCGGTTTGGACTGTTCCTAGGAAGGTGGATGGGTGAAACGAATGAATGCAATTTATGTTCATCCATCCTCTTCACGTCCCTCTCACGCCTTACGTGTGCCACCTGACCTTCTCACCTCACCTCACCCCCGCCGGAATCTCCGGCACCTCCGGCACGTCCGACCTCCCCGTACCACCCGAGCCATGGCTCCCACTACTCCCCGCGCTGCCCGGGGGCGGCGCAATCGTCGGCGGTCTCGGACCCTTGTAGCTCAGCGCCGGGATCGTCAATCCGTACCCTTCCGTGCGTCCCTCGGGGTTATGCTGATCGATCTCAATGCGAATGCATACGTCCAGACTACCGTCGCTTCCTGTGCCGTGCTCGGCCGGGTCGGCGGCTTTGTGCTTGGTGCCCGCGTTGACTTCGCCTTTGCCGAGCGCGTAGCGGCCATCCTTGTGGCCGGGGAAGGTGCCGCCAGGGGTGGAATTTGGGGGCGGAGAAGAAGAAGCGTGGAAGCCGTTACCGTTACCGTTGCCGTTTTGGTCGTGGCCATGGCCATGGGCGCCGTTGTTGGGGGAGTTTTCGGTGATGACAGCAAAGTTGCGGCTAGGCATGGTGACCTTGTTGTGCTTAGCGGTTTTGACGCTGTCGCCGGGGTCTTTGTCGAACATCTTGAGGAGCGTCTCGTCGGTGTCGTGGTCGAGGTGATGGATCCTGTTTCGACGTGCCAGCAGGTTGGCGACGGCCGCCGGGGGTGGTTTGTTCACGATAGCGGAGGAGACGACGTTGACGATGTAGCGGTAGTCCTCTTCTAGCGGGATGTTGAGCTTGGGGTTCGAGTAGAATCTTCCTAGCGCTGCCAGGTGGACGTCGCCGCCTAGGATGGTAACGCGCACCGAGAACTCGGCGGCGATCTGTTGCAACTTGAGGATCAGACCGTTGCGCTCGCGCTTGTGGGTTCTGGCTGTATAGTGATCGTCAAGATCGTCTAGCAGATCAACACTTCCGTCAAAGGAGTTGAAGAAGCTGCCACCGAAGCCCACGCGTTTATTCAACAGCTTTAATGGGCCCATCAAGGGACTGGCAAAGATATTCTCGAGCCATGTCAAGCGCTGTTTGTATGTTAGTGTCTCGGCCCTTTTGGTGTACGAGTTAGATGCCACTTACAGGATATGCGATGGGAATACCCAAAAGGAGAATCAAGTGCTTGTATGGCTTCTCGATTTGTATGGCATGGCTAAGCTCCTGCCTCAAGCGGGAGAAGATAGCCTCATATGTCTCAGTGTAGTTGACTTGATGTCTCGTGCGCTATAAACTGTTAGCCCTCGCAAAAAGTGACTCCCTTGCGTCTCCTCAATGGTTCGCCCACCTCTGTTCGAGCGTCGATACCCAAGAACGCTATCCTGGCACCCAGCTGTGTAAACATATTGTGTGAATGTTCCGAAACGTAGGGCTACGTAAATGTCAGTATCTAATCCGGTTGCTGGCCTAGCACCAGAGAAAAGAAAGTACTTACACCGGGAGAGGGTCCAACAATGTAGTTAGATTCCGTCATGGCCGGGTGAACATAAGCCGCAATCATCTGATTGGGGTCAATACCTTGACCCGCTTCTTTCTCTGTCTTGGGCATTGTGTCCGAGGTATATGTCGAGGCCGGAGGAGGGAGATGATGCTGGAAAAGCATATAGTACTTGTGAGCAATGCCGCCTATTCCGCGGAAAACATCGCATCTCATAAAGTCGTCCACATAAGACCCAAATCCATCAATAATCTGTGTCATGTCAGCGTGACCCAAGCCTTGTTAAAGATGGTGCCAAGGGCACATACATCATGATCATCCCAGATGTTTAGTTGAGGAATCTGGCCGTTCGCAGCTGCAAATGGCTCTGTCCCATACCACCGGATATAGTTGTTCAAGTAGTAATCGTCACACTCGGCCCGGAGGCTCTCGGGGAATGGATAGTGCCTCCGTTTCTTGGGGTTGCTGATGCTAGTCCACCTGCGAAGAGGTCCAGAAACTCGAATGCCGTCGTTATAGATCTGGTCGCCGCCACCGATCCTGTAGCGCTGTTAGCATTCAACACGGCTCGAGAGAATCCACAACCTCTTACATCACATGGAACGGCGCCTCTTGATGACGTCTCATAACGTCGTTCCACAAACACGGGCCGCTCCAGTCCTCCTCATCCGTACCGACACTGAATCCATTGCAGGAGTGGAACATGATCCTCATCGATTCTGTGATGGCCGGCACGAAGAACGAATTCACTTTTGGCTTGGTCTTGCTGGCAAAGACCAGGTAATCTGACAGCCAATACTCCCACTTGGTCTCATAAGGTTCCATCTCCAAGTGCACATCAAACCTCCAGAAAGTGTTGCGCCAATCTGAATAAAGACAGATTGCCTGGCTTTCACTGACTTTGGGTTCGTTGCTGCTGTGACCATTGGCAGCAGCGCCATTACCATTCGCATGACCATTGGCATGAACGTTGCTCACACCGACCATGGCGGCCTTTCTCAAGAACAAGCTCGGCCTGAACGTCTGTTCTCTGCCACCCCCGCGGGTCACAACCAGGACACTGCCAACCCAGTGACTTCCCTCCATGCGGCGATAGTTGATCAAAGGTCCTACCGCAATCTCCTTGTCGTTCGGGACCCTCTCCGGAGCCAATGCGTCGGCCATGCTCTTTTCGCCATTGAGAACCTCCCTGGCTTCTGTAGCGCCTAGAACCACGGGCTTGAACTTTGGGTCGCTTGGAGGGCGAGTGCCAGCTTCCTCGGGCGAGATACGCGACTTGTTGAGGAAATCGGCCAGGTCGTTCACATTGCCTTCGCGCGCGTCCGCTTCACGAGCTATGGAGTGGTGATGGTGATGGCGGGAGGGTTGCTGGGGCTGGGCTCTCTCGGCCTCGTACTTGGCGAAGGCTCGCGACTCTTGATGACGCCATTGGGAGCCGGAGGCGTGAGGATTGCGGTTTTCATCGCGGGGCGCATTGCCCTGCGCTTCGTGAGGGTCCATATCAAACGGATAGGCAGGCGATTATCGCGACGTTGTCGGTTGCAAATGTGAGCAGGTGGTCAAATCGTTTAAAGTATGTATAGGATTTCGCGACCTGGGGTCCCCAATTCATAAAACAAGGAAGGCCCAGCTCCAAGTCCGAGGTACCAGCAACGGATTCGGTAAGGGATCGCAAGGGTTCAGCTCGCCAGATTCGTAGGTCGAGGAGCCGGCGGGGGTCTTGAAGCTGGTCTTTGGCCGACAGGGGACTAAGATGGCCAGTTGGGTGGTTGGAAAAGTAAAAGAGAGGAAAAATAAAAAGTAAAAGGGAAGGAAAAAAAAGCGGTTTGGAAAATCAAAGACCGAAGGAGGGGACGGTCAATCTAAACGAAATTGATGCCATGGGAACAGGGGTCGTGCACAACTCGTTCGACTCGGGCGGCACACTCTTTTGCTCGGCGACGGTGTCCCAGATACTACTCAGCTGTACCAAGCTTTGTCTAGCAAACTGCCGATTCTGGAAGGGAGTAGGTACACCTTGCTTGTTTCAGGGCCAAGACTTCAGTTCCTTGTCTTGATTTTATTCAGGCCGGTTCATTTCAAGGGAGAAATTTCAAGGGAGGAGGAGAAAAGAAGGCAGAAGAAGAAAGGATATGCCGAAAACTTGACTCTGGTACGACTCGAGTATACAAGTACAAGTTGGAGATAATGTGTTGTAGGTACACAAGCCCATACACACAAAGTACAACGACGTTAAAACCTGGGCACGGCATGAAAGATGCCGGCTTGGGTACCGATGACCCAATTAGTCTGTCTCTCATTCAGTTCTGGGCATCGTGGAGGTAAATTGCGGTGAAATAGAAGAAGACCGGTCATCCATGTGAAAACGGGCCAAGATGAAGAAATACAAACCCATCATCGTCCTTGCTCACCCATTCGACGTTTGCGTATGTATCGGGTTGTTGGCTGGAGACTGCGGCTCGCTAGCAGAATGGCTTCCTCATGTTGATGAGGGAACATTCCTAGGGAGCTTTTGAGGGACGGTGTTGGTGTTGGAGGCCTCGCTTGGTCGCCAACAGTCAATATCGATCTTTGGGGTCTCTCTCCGATCTTCACTCGGGGCCCTTTTCCTTTTTGTCAAACCTCGAGAGGAAAACTTCGCTTCCACATGAAAGAAGACTGCGGTGGTCCCTCGGTTTGCTTGCGTCAGCGCAAATCTCCAGAGACACGGGCATTGACTGGCCCGGCGCCAACTCCAAGTCTCCAACAATTCTCCAACGTCTTTTGTGCTGTGGCCTGTCATCATCTTGCATGTGGGGAGAGCAAAATCGTCCAATGGGCCGCCGCGCTTTGGAACCCCCTGTTCGGACGGGAGCCGGTCCCTGTTCGTCGGGATTGGCGGGTCTCGGCAACCGCACTAGTTTTCAGCTGGAATGGATCAAGAAGGTGATCGCGAGACCGACCTCTGTTCGTGGGATAGGGGTTGTTGCTCTGAACGGCGGCCCAAAATGGCACTCGAGTAAACAACAATACACCATTTGTTATACAAAATCTTGATATTTATACATCATTTCACTTCTTCTCAAGCATGGTGTCCAGAACACCGGACCCGGTTTTCTGGTCCTTCAGGTGCAGCTGCGTGTTGCCCGCTCCTTCAAGCCTCGCCTTCTTCTTCTGCTCCATCAGATGACCGGCAAGAATACCAACAATCATGCCGCCCAGATGGGATACGACATCCATGGTATGGTTCCTGCTGAACAAACCCCAGATGTTCAAACCTCCAAACAATCCAATGAAAGCCAGTCCCTGAACACCAGTATATGGATCAGGAGGCAGGCCAAAGATCTTGAAGCCCTCGAAGCGATGCATCCAAAAGTAGGCTGCCGAGATACCGTATATGGCGCCGGATGCGCCGAGGGTAGTCATATGGAAGTTACCCTTCAGGACGAGCCAGAACAGACTGGTCAGGAAGCCAACCGATCCGGACAAGACATAGGTAGTAAGGAAGTCGGCCCGGCCAACCTCATCGTGAAGCCGGGTGCCAAAGAACCAGAGCATGGGCATGTTGACAATGAGATGGCCCCAGACAACCTGGTGAGAGAACACGGCGCCAAGCATACTGAAGGGCTTGGGTGTCGCGGGGGAAATCAAAAACCACTGGAGCAAAGGCTTCCACATGACGGGAATCTTCCAGAGGAACCAAATCATAACATTAGCGCCGATGAGGGCGGCGACGGTGGCGGCTGCTGGAGGACAATCGGGCCATAACCTGTTCTCGCGGCTGGGGGCGACGTAGAGATGGGAGTAGGTGAGGAAACCGGCAACGAGGAGAGCGACAAAGACGGTCGAGGGCAGCAGACGCTTCCACGCGGGCATCTTGGGAGGCTCCTTGAGGTCGGACATGGCCCACTGCTCCCATTCCTTTCTCTTGGCGCTGACTTCACGCTTCGGGGCGTCTTCCGCTTTGGCGAGAGGGCCGGCCTTGCCGTTCTTGTATTCTTCCTCGAGCTTCTTGCGTTCCTCTTCCTGCTTCTTGAGCTTCTCCTTCCAGATAGCCTCGTTGCGGGCGCGGATGGCATCGAAAGCGCTCTTGCCGTAAACCGACGGGGGCGCGGGTTTCTTCTTCTCAGATTCGTCGACGCCCTCGGTATCGTCCTGGTACATCTTGAACCGTGACTTGTACCCGATTGCCTTGGTGATGTCGCCCTCCTCGGCCTGGGCCTGGGCGTCTTCTTCTTGTTGTTTCTCAAGGGCTGCCAGCTCGTCCTCGGCGCGTAATCCGGCGTTCACGACCTCGTCGACATAGATGTTCTTACGGAGGTAGTCCAGGGCGGTTCTCTTGTCTCTAGAAGTGTAGGCGGCAGTGTTGACTTGGAGCACGGGGTCGTCAAGGGTTCCAGCGACGCGGCGACCGTGAAGAATCCTCAGCAGCTTGTTCGCCGCATGAGTGGCCATCCCGGGCCCGAATAATCGAAGAACCTCGCCAGCTGCCAAGTCGTTTGCGCGGAAGGGCAAGCCCTCCTCGTCCTTGTAGTTCGGGGGTAGGTCGACATAGTGAGTGATGATTCTGTTGTGGGCGGCAAACTTGAGGGTGCGTACGGCGATGCGCGGAACCAAAGAGGGGACGAGGAGTGATGTCGAAGAAGCGAGGACGCGGCCCCGGTTGGCGTGCCATTGGTTCTGGGCCGTGGATGGGATCAATGTCGTGGAAGAGAAGCATCGCGTGGTGGTGGGGGCGGCGGCGGCGACGAGCAGTCGGCTACATGCTTTTGAAAAATGGTGAGCGGCGACCTGGACGCCTGGCCGAAAGGCATTGACGCCCAGGGAGCAGTTCATGGTCACGGAATGGGCGCCCTGTATCGCGCCGTTTCGCGCAAACTGTCCATCAAGGTTGAATCCGAACTCGGGAGTTGTTGGACCGGCCCATCTGGGGAGCAACTGGAAAATTGGCCAGGGAAAAAAAATGACGGAGCTCTCGGGCCCGGCAGGCAGCTTTGTACAATATGATTGGTTGTAAGAGGTCCGATTGGCTCCATAGAGGGGCCGTCTCCAGATGCTCTGCCCCTGTCCTTCAGGCACCTTTGCGGGACGAAAGGACCCCCGCCTTACAAGCTTCCAGAACAAGCTCCCGTCCAGGCAATCGAGCTGCGACGTCAGGTCAAGACCTCGAAATCCATAAGAAACCAAGACAACTAAACACAACCAAAGCGCAGCCTTCTGTTCATCATTCACCAAGGCAATCTTTGAAATACGAAAAAATAAGCAACACAGGATTTGCCCTACATTTTCACCGGACCTTGACGTCGTGATCTTCAAGATCCCCACCACAATAAACCTGCAAAGGTACATACTTCCACTTGCTGCTATAAACAGGTAGCATCAGTACAGCCGACTATACCTGCCTACTCTACCTACCTTGACGATAATCGCAACGGAACCACAACAACCGTATCGATATCTCACCTCGATTATCACCATTACGCCCCAAAATGTCAACCTCCACCGAATCCCTCCCCATAACCCCCCAGGCTTTCGCCGCAGCTCTGGAGGACCTCCCCGTCTCGGCCCTGCACCTCAAGGTCCTCGAAATCTACAACTCCATCGCCCACCTCAAGTACTCCAACGAGCAGCTGCGCCCCTTTGCGGAAGGCATCGAGGCCCCTCTTGGCTCCAGCAGCAGCACCGGCGAGTCAGCGCAAAACCAACCCGACCCGGACTGCGTCGAAGCCATCCGCGAGAACGAGCAAGTCATAGTCCGTATGGAGGAGCGCGTCCAGCTGGTCAAGAACGAGGTCGAGCGCAGGGGACTCAGCTGGACCGAATTCGAAAGCAAGGAGGAGGTCGAGGCTGCTGCGGCGAGGAATAGGGCTCGCGGACCGGTGGAGACTGGTGAAGACTCGGACAACGAGGAGGAGCAGCAGCAGCAACCGATGACAAATGGAACTTCGACGACAACAACAACAACACAGCACCCCGCTTGGATGGATGGGACGTTCCAGACTGGAGTGATTAGAAATGGAGAGATTGTCATGGACGATGTTGCTGGATCGAGTAGACAGCAAGAGCAACAAGGTGTTGGTGCCGCCACTGGCGCTGGCGCTGGTGGTTCGCTAAGTGATGAGGAACTTAGGAGGAGGATAGAGGAGCAACTACGGGACTTGGGAGGGGAAGGTGACGAGGAGGAAGGTGGTATGCACCTGTGAGAGGCAAGCGATGAGAATAATGGACCGGAAGAGGGTGGGTCTTGAACAACCTGAAGGGAAGATTGTCGCTTGTTCCACGGGGCCGGCTGGCGTATAGAGGGGCGTTCTGGTGCATTTCTTAGTCGTTCGGATACCAGGACACTTCGAGGTTATAAAACTCGATTTAGACAGATGCTACAGGAGAAGAAGGGCTGGGCGAGAAAAATATTGTCGGATCTTTTCAACTCGTTCAAATGGGCGAATCTTTACACAGCCATATCTAGAGCGGTGATGGATCAACAATCTTGCCTACAGGATCGGTTCTTGTCGTTGGCCTGAACTCGGAACTCATCATGAAGTCTTCCGGGCTCGTCTGTAGTTCTTTCCCACTGATTCCCTTTTGGAATCACGGTGTTACTCCGTGACGTCCATCAGCACCTCGAGCATCTCCCATGGCCGCATCTCCATATTTTTCATAATTTCGCCGTCATGTGTCCATAGGACACCTGAGGCTGAGTATCAGACACGCCTCCCACGGGGATTGCAGATCTGCTGCTGCACCTGGTAGTTGTGAGACCTTCACACCACTTGCATATCATCCAATCGGTCCACCAAACTTGGTGGATTACCTAGAAATTTTTGGCAGTCGTCACCCATTGTCGTTGAAAATGCACCAGTAGTATAGGGTAAGTCTACAATACGCTGCTGCACTTCAGAAGATACTTGTGCTGGTGGAATGGTCGCCCCATTACAGTAAAAACCCCTGCTTTTGCAACTCAATTCCGGCAGTATGGGGAAGGGTCAAAATCTTTGCAATAACTAGCCATTTTGCAACTACTGGTGCCTCAGCTACATGCAGAAGTGAGAATCCGGGCAGCGACAACAGTTGCACTAACTAGGTCACTTTGTATGGTGTTTGCAAAAAGGGTGGGGGGGTTGCAACTGCAAAGGTTTTTACTGTATATAAGCTCTAGGTCTGCAACTGTTTCTCAACAACCAACTACGACAGCTGATTAACAGTTGTACATCTTCCGTAGTATAGTGGTCAGTATGTGAGCTTGTCAAGCTTGAACATCAGTTCGATTCGCTCGAGACCCGGGTTCAATTCCCGGCGGGAGAGACCAAAAATTCTTTTTTCCTCTTCTTTTTTCCTCTTCTTTTTTCTTCATCCTCGCCTCCTTTCTTCGGCAACTGTCGTTCGATCTCCTTTCCTCCCTTTTAATTCCTTTTCTCATTTTTATCTCGCAAGCACCAAAACCATCAATCACATACATGGTTGTGCGAGCCATTTCAACCACGAGACATTCCAAGATGTTCGTGCTACGTTTCCAACTCAAAACAGACCATGTCCCGAATGTGAAACAACGAACGAGTCAGTGAGCTACGCTAGTCCGATGTAGAAAGTCAATCAAGACAATCTCTCTCGTTCAACTCAACTCAACCAACATAGGCAGGCAGTTGGGGTGGATGAAACCGACAAGTATGTTCCCTTGTCCGTCTAAAAAGTCACCATGGCCTTCACCGCGCCTCGTGCACGGAGAAAGGGGAGTAAACAAATATCAGCATCTGCAATTTAGGATCTGATCAAGAGTGAACCACAAGTTATCAGATATACATACGTGTCTCTCTGATAATGGATGGTAATGAAGAAAATGAAAGTGTGTTTTATTCTATCCTGTTCCCTACGGTACCGAACACTCTATTATTCCCATTCCCATTCCCGTAAAAAAGCCCGTGATTCCCATAAGAAAAGGAAAAGCCAAGAAGAAGAACATGAGATGGAGGAAAAGAAAAGCCAAGTGCTATTCTCCTTGGTTTCCTTCTCCATCCCGTGCTTCTTCTTGTTCCCAATTCCCATATCTCCCAATTTTTCCTATCATTTTATAAACCCTTTCGTTCCCTTTCTTAGTTTCCCCTTCCCCTTTCCTTTGCCCAGGCCAAGCCAGATCAGACTCAGAAGACCCAGAAGACTCATCCCATGAGCCCCACTCCAATGATGTTGATGCCGACCCGTTCGAGCGATGTCGAAGATGTCAAGCCCTGCTGAAGTAGGGTATGGAAGTAAGACCAAGAAGTTGTCGTAGTCGATGCCACCATGGCCGATGCCATTTCCATTATTGACGTTGTCATCATCGTCGTAGTCCATGCCGGAACCATCGTAGAGATCAAAATGGTGTTGTTGATGACCACCACGTCCCAAATCATCTGCGCCCACAGCCATAGCCATGACCATGACCATGACCATGACCCCAAGCTAGAAACCAACACCCCACACAGGAACCCAACAAAGCCGATCAATAGCGCAACGGCGACCGTCAGACTGGAGCTGACCTCTTGGTCGAGCCAGCGTTGACGTAGGCGGAGCGTGCCGAGCCGGAGGTGGAATATTTCGTTGACGGTGACGGAGCGGGTAAATGAGTTGAGGTGGAGTTGGGTGGATGACTGCGGTCGTGGCTGTTGTTTCTTTTCGACTCTAAATTTTTTTTTTCGGTTTACTTTTTGTTGGACGACTTCTTATGTATGGCTGAAGAGAATGGATTGAATGGCCATGAGCCAAGAAAAAGGGAGGAAGGGAGGATCAGGGGAATGGAAAGAATTTATTGACTGCAAAAGAAGAAAGATGGGATCATTAGCCCACCCATTCGTGGCGCGGTAGGGGAGAAAGATAGGCAAGGCAGTCGGATGGAGAAAAAAAAAGCTTACAGAAGAGTAAGCGAGACATCACCCTGCAGTCTAGCCTTCAGCTCGACCTCGACATCGAGGTTCAAGCCAAGCTGGAGACGGACGGGCTTGGTGTCGGCCAGGCGGGGAAGGATCTGAGGGCCGGTGAGACCACCCTGCTTCTGGAGGGCGCCCTTGTTTCTGCGGCGACGACGGCCGCGGGAGTCAACGGAGGAGCCGTCGGAGTTGGTGTCGTCGAGCTGTGGTTTTCCCATGTCAGACATTTTTTCTTTGATCCGATGATATCTTACTACTGCTGCTACTGATTCGAAAAACAAAAAAACGAAACAGGGACGCGAGGGAGGTTCAAGTATTTACCTGGCGACGAAGGTCAGCGAGCATTTCTTCCTTAGTTGGGGACAAGAAACCTGAGCGGGCTCCGGCGGGGACAGGGGGGAGGTTAGAGACCTTAGGCATGGTAGGGTTGGTGTTGGCCATCTTGAAGGTTGTCGCGGTTGGCGAATAGGAAGATGAGGTTGGAGAAGAAGAAGAGTCCTGGTGAATAGTAATGTAAGTCACGGACTGAACCTGAGTCCGTGTATGCTGGGCGAAAAAGACAGGTGGTTTTCGCTTGCGCGAGTTGAGAGACTCCTGAACGAGACGAAGCGGCTGAGGCTTGCTCGAGCTGAAGACGGTCCGGGGATATGGACGGGAGGGTACAACAAGTGGTGGTAGTGAGAGTTTGGTGAACTGCCGCGGCGATACCGGGAGTGGAGGGTAGTAAGGAGGCGGTCTTACGCACTGTTTGTGGGAGGAATGGTTGTCAAGACTGACTAGGTTGAGTTGAAGGAGGTTGCGACGGTTGTTGGCTGACTCTGACTGAGAGTTAACCGGAAAATTGAACGGTAGTGAAGGTCTTCTTCGTGGAACAGATGAATCCTGTTGCCGAGACCGCCACTGGCTAGCTCGCGGGAGAGTGTTGTGAAGAGTAAGTGGCGGTTGCCTTTGATGAAGATAATCCACGCCGATACGAGGCCGTGAATAAGAAGCTGTTGGAAGAGGGTTTGGTGGAGATTGTTGTTGTTGACTGGTGTGAGACATGAAAGGCTACATTGGGCGAGCAGAGGACAGCATATATAGGAAAATTGGTTCGGGAGGCGGACAGAGTTGGTGGCTCCCTCTTGGGATTCCCCGGGACTCGGGACTCCGGGATATCGACTCGGTCTTGTCCATCCTGCTGAGTGTCACCCCCGGCCTTGTCCGGCTATAGCCAACGGCCATTTCGGTATGTTCTTGTTCGATATGAGGGGTATCACGTGCCCCTGACCTGGAGAATTTGGGGATCATAGGGCGATACAGGGGCATTGGGGTCCGTGGGTGAAGCTTGAAGCGGGAGGCGAACCGTTGGTTTCTCGTACGACTGGCGAGGATGAAACCCCGGCTCTCCCACGACCACGTACGTGACTTGTTCGCCCAGAGGATCAGACAACGCGTCCGGCAGCAAGGTAGGCCTCATGAAGCCATTCCTGGATGAATGAACGGTTGTGTGCCGTCTCAAACCTTCGGTGTTCTCGAGTGTCATCCGGGCGCTCGGTGTTGTCGTTATTCGCCCCTGGAGGTCAAAGCGCAACACAGCCAATGGTACGCAAACTGTGTCACAGATGAAACATCTAACCATTCACTACTCTTCCACTGGCACCATGATCATCATCAATGGTAAGTTTTCATTTGGGATCCTGCTTTTGGCGTTTGGAAATCCATCATCATACATGCAGAAAAATCTGTCTTTCGTCTACCAATTGCCATGCTTCCCCGGATGGCCGTTGCTTTGCCAGTTCCGAAAGCGAACTCTAGCATAGGCGAGTCTGTATTACTTCCTCAACCATCTCGAATCATTCTGCGACGACCAAAGTCTGAGGCATTATTCATTTGTGTATCCTCAGCCTAGAACAACATACGCATCCCGGTCTCCTCACGACTCGATATATGGGGCGCTGCTGTGATTTGAAACTGTTTATCATAGAAGACGGTGCCGGAGTTCTCCGAAGGCTTCCAAAGCCCCAACAATCCGTCTTCCTTCACACTTCCTATGGGCATCCTAACCCCTGACGGACCGTGAGACCCTGCATATTTCGGCCCTGGGATCGCTCGGTTGCTATTCCGGTACCAGCGGTTATGGAGCCAACATGCATGCACGGTAAATCGCTAAAATGGCCAAGCCGAGCCCCGAGTCTAAGCCAACAGACGCCAAGGGTAAATGATCCTATCGGACGGACGTGGAAGTGCTATCGAATGATCCCCTTCTGGATCCCCTTCTGGATCCCTCATGCACTCAACAGGTCTTTGACACTCATTCCCCGCCCGTCCGCACGGTCCCGGTCGCTGCGGCTGCGGCCCTAGCGGGGCCCTCGGTGTTCGTCGTCGACGCCCGCCTATCATGTTGGGTGTGTTGGTTCAACATGAGAAGAGCAGCCGTCGCCTCATGGTCGAGGTCGTTTCGTGATACCAGGTAAGGGCTAGTCAAAGCTGGACCTGGGGCGGTTCGTGTATCGTGCGTGTTGCCATTGCCGCCGTACAAATGCCCCCCAGCGCCAAAGCCAGCGGGCGAGGCAGTGACAGATGAACCACTGAAGCTGTAGTGTCTTTGATGATCTACCGATGCTACAGCTAATGAGATGGAATCATGTCGATCTCTTAACTGCTGCTGGGGTGGTATTCCCGGAGACGCGGATGGCTGGTGGGAAGAGGTGGTCGCGGCAAGGGCAGGTGAGGAGGCTGGTGAGGGAACCCCTGACGAGTCCGACATCTCGACATCCTCATCTGGAGGGACTTCTGGTCTCACTGAAAAGGAAAAGGCAGACTCCGACTGGAAAGGTTCACGGACGGAGGGCGTTGGGAGACTCTTCGTCGCATTTCCTGGCTCTGATGGAACCGATTGATGACGGGCCTGGAGCCTAGCGACACAATCTTCTAAATATTTGATGTATTCTATCGAGGCCTGAGGTCATTCGTAAGCTTCAAATCCCCAGTAGATGTTCTTGAGAATATGATACTAACCTGGAGGATAGCCAGCTTGTGCATCTCGCCGGTACATGCCGGTATCATGCTTTTGAGGAGAGCAAACTCTTCGTTCATCTTGGATCTCCTTCTTCTTTCAATCAAGCTGTGTGCTGTCTTCCTTGCAACTTTTCTTCCTGCCGCACTTTGCTTCTTCTTAGCGCCGCTTGTTGTCGCCGTTGGCGTGGCCGACGCTGCATTTGTCGAGGCAGACACCGTATCTGAGCCCGGTTTGTTAACGGTCGAGTCTTTTGAATTTGGAGCAGGTGGCTGGGCGGCAGCAACTTCGCGAGGCTTCATCTGGATGATTCTGCGTGACCTCGTAGGAGGAGGAGGAAGAGCAAAATCGCTCTTTGATGAACCTGCTACGGTTGCTGCACGCCTTCGTGACTTGACTGTCTCGCTTGGTTGCATTGGATATCCTTTTTCTGGCGTTTGTGGAGGTGTGCATGAAATGTTGGATGGTATAATGGCAGGTGGTGGTAGTTCGAACGACATCTGAAGGGAGGCTAGGAATGGATATTCCTGGGCTTTCATATCCGTGGATGATACTGGTGTAGGCAACGACCTCTGAGGCATCGTGATCGGCTTTTCGTACTATCGTAACGGCCTAAACCAGCTGGGGGATAGGTAGAGGCGAATTTGGTGGTAGGTATGTATGGAGGGTTGGGAGCCCCAAAATACTGAGCTTCAGAACCACACCAAAGTCGAACCGGGGAAGCTCAGAACAGCCTGATGTTCAGACGAAATAGGTAACTGTCAGGTACAACTGACGTTGTAGGTGCTGCACAAGATTCGGCTTGAAGGATGGCGGGAATCCTCCAATTAGTGGCTATCACTTGTGCTTGTAGTTGCGTCTGGCCAAGAGAAGACGATAAGACGATCTTTCGGGTGTCGCCTTGCACTGGTAGCTGAAGAATGAGCAGAGCAGAATTCAACGGTTATACGATAGGTTCGATCAAGTGTTGTCGAGAGGTACAGATGTCCCAGCACGGGATTCAGAATCGGGGTACGCCATCAAAGGACAATATATGGACATTGTGCTTGCTGGTTCTGATGTAAGATCTGAATCAAAGGGATCATCCAAGGGCTTGATGCTTCAGTAGAGGGCGGGGAGACGAACGTAGGAAATCGACAATCGTAACGTGCAGTGCATCTAGAGAGCATGGAACACTAGTGTTTCCATCTCCGAAGTGCACTTTGAAGTCCCAAAGGAGTCGCGTGCCCAGCTCCTTTCCAGTAGGCACGAGGTGGAATCCTCGATGCTGATTGGACAGCGTCTTTCTTGGTGTCTTGTCAAGGTGTCAAATCCGCCTGCAAGACAATGTCGTCCAAGGTTGTGCCTTTGGATCTGGACCTCTGTCTGACGCCGGCTACAGGAAGTATGGATACCTGCCAAGTCTTTGCCATCATGCTCTACTGCCACAGCCACTCTTGGACAAATGCTTGTCCTATCTACATCGTCAGTGACCATCGAGGTCCCCAACCCTTTTTACAGCCCCCGGTGCCATCCAAGCTCTTTTAAGGCAGCCCGCACGTGGCCTTTGAGGGTCAAGACGATCCTCGACACGGGGCAGAACGACGGGCCGTCCGTAACTCTCGCGGACTCACAAAGTCAGAAGGAAAGGGTAACAAAGGCGCGTAGGGTGAGGCGGTTGAATTAGCGATAAAGTACCTATGCCATGTAAAGCCAGCAACACAATGCAACTTCAGGATCGGGTTGTGATTTGATTTGCTAGACGCCTAATCCAACAACATTGCATTTGTCTCAACGCTGCCCATTAACACCTCCGTCGAAAGCACCTAAATGAACACATTTACAAATGCCGGCTCCCTGTATTACAACTCCTCCTGAGCAATCGGAATCGATAAACCAGCACGATGGCATTAGCTTAGGACTCCAACATGTTATCGATAGACGCTGCTCTTGTACGACATGCGCTGCTGGGAGGTGCCAACCAGTCTCTGGATGAATGCTCAGTGCACACAACCCCATTGACCGTGAAGTCCTCGAACATGCGAAGCGTCAGGAAGGGATCGACGTCAGTATCATCAAAGTCGTTTCGAGATCTGGTGCTTGCCTGTATATGAATAAGGTCTTATTCTACCTCATTGCTGGGATAGGTCACCGTCGTCGTAGAGTTGAACTCCTCTTTGATACTTCTCATACTGACAAACCGGCTTAGAATGTTGATGCTGCCGGCCTTGTCATTTGTCCCGCTCGCCCGGCTGCCACCAAACGGCTGCTGGCCTACAACAGCACCGGTGCTCTTGCAGTTGATGTAAAAGTTGCCTGCTGCGTTGCGGAGTTTCTCCTCTGCGAGGCGGATGACGGCCCGGTCCGTCGCGAAGACTGAGCCTGTCAGCCCATATTCCGTGGCACCGTCGATGATATCATAGATAGAGTTGGTGCTATCTACGTAGTCATCATAGACATAGACTGTCAAGACGGGTCCGAATAGCTCCGTCGAGAAGAGCTTATGGTCTGGCGTCTTGGACAAAAAGATCGTCGGCTTGATGTAGTAGCCAGTTGAGCTGTCGTATTCTCCTCCCGTAATCAACTGGAGTTCTGGGTCTTTCCTGCCCTCGTCGATGGCTGTGCTCAGCTTTTGGAAGGAGGCGGCATGAATGACAGGGCCGATGAAGTTGCCATGGTCTTGGGGTGGGCCGACCTTCAACTTCTCCGTTTCTTGGACGAGAAGCTCCTGGAAATCGGGCCAAATCGACTTGGCAACGTACAGTCGGGAAGTGGCGCTGCACTTTTGGCCCTGGTATTCGAATGCACCGCGGACCGTCTGGACAACAGCATTTTGTAGATCGGCAGACTTGTGAATCAGGTGGAAGTTTTTGCCACCGGTTTCGCCAACAATGCGAGGATATGACCGGTACCGACCCTCAGCAACTCCAGCGCCAATCTGCCCATAGAGCTTGCGGAATACGGCAGTGCTGCCTGTGTAGTGAAGAGCCGCAAACTCCTTGTGCGCGAGCACTTCCTTTGTCACCAATTCAGGATCGCCTGGAACAAACTGAATGACATCGGGTGGGAGTCCTGCTTCGAGAAGGGCCTTGTACAGGATGTAGTTGCTGAGAATCGCGTGATCGCTCGGCTTCCAGATCACAACATTGCCCAGTAGTGCTGCCACGCCAGGAAGGTTGCCCGCGATGGCAGTAAAGTTGAAAGGGGTAACAGCATAGACAAAGCCTTCCAGTGGCCTGTACTCGACGCGGTTCCAGACGCCAGGGGAGTTATGTACCGGTTGCTCAGCGTATAGTTGCTCCGCATACTGGACGTTAAAGCGGAGGAAGTCGCACAGCTCGGCGGCAGCATCAATCTCGGCTTGCCAAGCGTTCTTGCCTTGGCCCAGCATTGTTGCGGCCATCAACTCGTAGCGATACTTGGTGCTGATCAGATCGGCTGCCTTGAGGAAGACTGCCGCTCGGTCAGCGAAGGGCAGGTTTTCCCATGCTGGCTTTGCATTCAGGGCGGCGTTGATGGCCAAATTGACCATTTCGGGAGTTGCCACGGCATAAGTGGCTATCTTTTGCTTGTGATCGGCCGGGTTCACCTGGTACTTGGTGTCTGCTTTGCTAAGCTAGGGTTATGCGTGTTGGTTAGCAGGCAGGTTTGGATGAACGGGTCACTAGAAAAGTCTTACCGTCCTGCCGCGAATCACAATGGGAACTTCAACAGGGAGGTTCTCAGAAAGCGCCGTGTAGGCTTCCGTGAGCTTGTGCCTCGATTCGGAACCTTTGGCATAGTGTTGCTACCCATATTGTCAGACATGCCGGTTATATAGGGCTCAGACATACTCACGTTCAGCTCATTGGCCACTGTAGGAACCTTGAAGGTTGCGAGGGTCGAGTTCGCCCTGACGATGTTGGCTTTGACCCCCTGGCGACGTAGATGTGGCCTTAACAGTGCCGGGGTGAAAGTGGATGAGGATATACGAGCGGATCTCAGGCCACTCGAGGTGGTAAGAGACAGCCTCTGGAATCTCTGTGCCGACATCGTGTTGGCTTTGACCTGGTTCCTCGGTCCAAGTGGTCCCTTCTGTAAATTTGTATGCTTTTCAAGATCTCAGGCAAGATCTCAGGTGCAGGGGAGAGACAATTGCAAAGGACCGGAACTGCCGTTGTACGGTCGCTATTGTGGCAGCTGTACACTCAGGAAGTGCTTCGTGTGGGATGTCGCCTTTGGACTTTCGAGTTGGACCTGCCTAGAGAAGATAGTTGATCTCGGCCGAGTACCTGTAGGCGGGCTTGTGGAATTGAATATTTGACGATGGTGTTAGAGTTGAAGTTAAGAGGAACAGTTGGACCCTTCCCGTCATTGGCGTATGGAAACCACCCCTCATCGTCTTCCCCTCACAAGCGGTTGCTCTTGCCCTGTACGAATGCCTTCAGCCCGCTCCTTCCATCTCTCTCAGCCAATCCAGCTCCAGGTTATGATTGACGGATCGCTTTGTGACGGCTTTAGACATGTCGAGCTGCACGAAGTCCTCGCCGTTTGACGTTATCGTGCGGGGCTGGGGACATCTCATTGGCCAATATCTTATTCGGGCAGGAGCGTTGTTTGAACGATAAGCCGATAACAAGGGTGCTGGCGCCGATGAACCTCCGGCTATCGTCTTATCGTTTGTCTAGAAGCCGAGCTTCACATGGCAGTTCAACTTCCAGTCCTCAGTCAGCGATCCGTATTGCGGAGTTGAAGGAGTCCGGAAGGTGTTTTGAAGGTTCGAAAGCCCGGTTGTCGGAGGCAACGGGTTAGCTTGAGCCGAAGTATGAAACGACATGATGGTCATTGGAGATCTCTGTTTGCAGATACGAAATAGAGAGATGTTATTCTAACAGCGAATTCCGACGAATATTGACAAAATGGAAGAATCAGCTCTCAAGAGCAGTTCGCGGTAGTAAAACGATGAGGAAGTGGCAAGTGACGGATTCCGTTGACGAAAGTCTCGTCGGTCGTTGGATGTTTTGATGAATCTGGGGGTGGAGAACTGGAGAATCCCGCTAAGCTCCACGAGCCCACTGTAGTCCGGGGGCGTTCCCGCGGCATCATGCAAGTGTCTGACTCGTGAAGATGGGACTCACAATCCGGACAACTTCGTGAACTTCCGACTCCTTTCTCTTCATTCATATTGAAAGGACTCACGTTAGAAGGATACAACGTCCATCTTTAATCTAGTGGGTTTCCTTGACAGAGATACCTAATGCTCTACGTACCTCCCGAGTTGCCCTAAGAACAAACCGATCACATCACGATCCATTGGGTCCTAGACGTTACCAACACCTTCGAAATACTCCTACGCGCACCAGTGCGTTTTTATTATACCTTTCACCCAGCTTCATCGACAGTTCGTAGATCGCAGAACGCTTAATGGACTTTAGTCGATATTTCTCCGAATTATTGCACTCCATATAACACTTTCACACCGGCCTTTCTCAACCGCAACGAGCGGTATTGTGTTGTCCACGTTCGGTTTCTTACAACCGCTCGCCTCTTTACCTCTCCGAGGGTGCTCAAAGAACTGAAATGCCCGCTGGCATTTCCTTGTGTAGGTTCAAGCTACAATGTGATATGTGGTTGCCAACCTCACGTTCTATCAAAACAGTCTTAAAATATCGGCCCTCACAATTGAACCCGACCGAAACAGCGGAAGTAAGCCCGAACTGCTTCTTGATACCAGAGAGCCCTTTGTTTGTTGTTTTCACGACAAGACAGCTCACAGACGGCACAATGAGAGAGAGGGTGTGAAGCGGATCAACCCCACGGACGAATCACCGGTCATAAGTGCCCCTTCAACAAACTCTCCCGAGCCCTCCAAACCACGGCCGTTGCCAAATCATTGGCCGTTGCCATAAAACGAGGCCGGCATTGACTACCACTTGACCACTTGACCACTTGAAACTCGAACCCCACACCATTACGACATGGTGTTTAGAAGTGATAACTGGTTGACGATAAAAGCCTGAAGTTTGGACCAAAAGGACCACCTTGTTCAGCCCTGACAGGCTTGCCGTTGCAAACCCCAGGCCCAGACCAAGAGGAAGAGAGGTGAGACGACGAGTCGACGATGTTAGATGGCGTCTGAGAGGTCTGGTTGGTTCCCGAGCTCGCTTCTCCAGACCTCTCGATCATGACCACGTCACTGCAGGAACAGGCGCAGGCGCAGGAATCCCGGCCGCGGTCGTTTCCTCGGAGATTTTCCCGTCCAGATATGTGTTTGATTTGGTAAAAGTGCAAGCAGAGTGGTCGAATTGGCCTATGGGCTATGGCTCGGCCCGGAGCCCCATGGTCGCTCGAAGGGGAGGGGAATGAGTGGTAAGCTTGATAATTGGTCTAGTAGTTGGATGTATAATCTCAGGGGTAAATACTCAACTACTACCCATATCGGACCTTCGATACTATCTAACCGTCGCAGAAATCTGATAAGTCACAAACCGGTCGAAAGCGTCATGTGCTGCTTAAAAATATGATAACTTGTAAAGCCTCGCCGAAATAATAATGGCTTGGATTAAATCTGAAATAAGATCCTTCTTAGTTAGGATAACTTTGGACATCAAGACCACAGCCATATGCAACTCGCCAGGGGCAACTACCTAGTTACAGTAGTGGTCTTTTCATTTTTCAGCCTTCCGTGTTCTTCGCTTGCGGGATAGACACCGGTCGACTGGAAGCCACCGCCATCCACATTCCAGTTTCTTTTACCTAGTAGTCCAACGCATCTTTGTGGCTGGCGAGACTGTCAAATGACAGCATCTTACACAGCATTTTGGTCCTGCACAGCATCTCGCACACATAGTACCGCGCGCAAAGGTAGGTCAACTTGACCGGCGTAGCGGGTTTTCAAGTTTGTCCTACGGGAATCGATAACAACCATTCGCCGAACTCGAACATGTTGATGTTGCGTGTGTGCAAACTTACATCGTTATGTGCCCACCACAAATCCTTTGAATCCTCTTCCAAAAAATGTTGTGTAATTTTGAATGTGAAGAGGTAACTTTTGACAGCAGCAGCAGCCGGTCTGAAGAGGAAGATACGTTCAACCGTACATAGGTGAGCATGCTTTTGCAAACTTGATTTTGTCCGAGTACTTATCCAGAAATGGGAGTATTGAGAATATATATCGACGGGAACAAACATGAACCGCATGGGCGCTTGAGGGGGTGGGAAAAGCAGTGTCCCGGCGGGATGCAGCCACCAAAAGCGGTGTTTGCGAAGGAGTGAGTGAGGCTTGTGTACAGTTTTTTTTTCGGTAACACTCTTTTCGTTGTTGTGAACGGGTGGGACAGTGCAGATATCCGTTTCTCTCTTGTCTTGTGAATCTGCCTCGATATCTCTACAAATACCCCAGTGATACTAGCGAAGACGGGCGCAATGACGGGATAGACGGAGGGGTAGGTGTTCTAAAACGTGGATTCGAAATGTTGGCATGCAGCTGGGCTCAGAGAGCATCACCAACCTTTCTTCTGAGCACACGGGAACTAAAAGATGGGGTAGGCCAGGCTAGGTAGGTAGGTATGCAGCGGATCAAACAACATCCGCTCCAAGCGTACACTACACCACCACCACCACCACAGTGAAACCCGGCTGTATCGAGGCACAAGGCAACGTTTGCACAACGACGGCACCAACGATCATTGCCCAGATGGGATCCATAAGCGCGGAGGGACAAAGGATGGGCGGTCATTGAGACAATTCAGGTTCACTAACGGAAAAGGGCCAATACTGTATTAGGTGCTTTGCTGCGGGTGACGATTGCTAATGCAGGAACAGGATCGCATCCCATCCATTGCTTCTTTTCTGTCTGCACCCGTTCCTTTTGTTCTCAGTAGAGGGTCTCTCCCTTACATCTGGGTTCAGGCCGGTCAGTGATATGGAAGTTATGTGTCTTGCCCGCTGTTGTTCATCATGATATCGTATCGAGGAACGACACTCCATTAGGCTACTAGGAACAACCTCACAGGATCGGAATGCCAATCTTCAGAAAACCTGTTATCGAGTTGATGGAGAGAGGAAAATGGGACGATGTTTTGAGAGCTTTGCTAGTAATGTAACGGTATGGCCCAAGCTCTTAGTGATCAGGAACAGGTGTGGATCGGTGGGGTAAGTTGGAAACAGTGCCTGGCCCGCCCGTTTCCTGCACAATCCAGAATCTTACCGGGTTAGGCCTAGCTTCTCCGAATAGCTCCACATACCCCAGACGATTTGTTAAGGCTGTTAAGGTTGCCGATTCCAGATGGGGTAAAATCTCCATCTTTTCTCGGAGATTTCGTGTGGATTTTTTATTTCCTCCTTGACTCCTCCGATTCAACCGGCGATGACTTTGAAAAGATGATGCTGTACCCGGATAGTGATACCCAGGCAGTGGTCCAAGCATTGGTCCTAGACGGAAACGAAGTGCCGTGAATGAAAGAGCCCCCAAGAGACCGTTGTTGGATCCATTTCACTTCGGACCATTCTCTCATATCAGAATTTCTGTTCCTTGCAACTGAATCTGCCCCTTGTAGACTCTGATAAATCTGAGCTACTGCAGTGAGGTAGTGTAAGCAATCGGCCCTGCAGCACTCACTTGCACTTTCCACTTCAGAGACTCAAGCAACGAAGCGGAAGCCTGGCCGGGACATTTGGAAGACCGGGCTTTTTCTCATCCCCCACCCTGGGCTGACCAGCCAATAAGCAGCATCCACGACAGAGAGCGGGCCCTTGGATTTCAATGTTTCAGGAATTGCCTCTTGTCATCCATCGATTCAAACCTCTCTTTTGACCATTCATGAACGATAATTGATATCTGTGGGCGTTGATTTGTGAACTCGGTCGGTCGGTCCAGGTCTCCGAGGCGGTGAGCAAACATGGCAGCATTGAAAGCAAAATGACAATTTCTTTGTTCGCATTGGGTTCGGCCATGTCATCGACAAGGGAACTTGACGTTTCATGCCCTGGAGCTCCACGATCCTGTTTCCGTTTTTTTGTTTATTGAAACGTGTCGAGTCCCCATCGCCGGGCATGCTACGCCTCCCCTCGAACAACACCCCGCCGCCCCAAGCACGCCATTCATGAAATCGGACGGTAGCAGCTTTTTTCAGTTTTCACAACCTCAACTGCGACGGTGCGATGCAGTGACCTATGCCGGCTGTTGTCTGCTGTGCCCCCACGATTGCATCTTGCTTATCATTGTTGTCATTTACACAACTTGCAGGCCGCATTGCGGAGAGTCTGTCGCCGAAACCATCCGCTGCCTATTATGGACTCGTCTATGTAAGATAGGTATCAACATCCCATTAAAGCTGTTTACATACTGAACCCCTCCAATCACCCCCAAACTCAGCACCGTTTGCGTGGAGATAGAGGTGGCTTTTTTTGTTTGTTTTTAAATTGTTACACTACACTACGTAGAAACGTAGGTATACAAACCTGCCGGCGTACCGCCTGTCTCGGTCAAGTGCCCGGAAGGGTTCCATTGTCCTGTCATCCAAGCGGGGCGTGTCCGATCCCACGACCAAAAGATCTGTCTGCCCTTGGCAAGTTGACCAACCATCACTTGAGAGTTGAGACCATCACTGCAGCTTGACTTTGCAGGCCTGTGGCACGTGCGATGCTTCCATTGTACACTTGTCCCAAACCATACATGGGGAACTCGACCAACGACCTCTGAATGGCTCCTACGAGGATATTGTTGAGATTCACATACCTTCCTCTCAATTCCGACGTTGGGCTTACACATCCATAACGGAACGGTGGGACTGCGGGTGCCCCGAAAGGGGTGGAACTGGGAGAATATGCAAGGTACTAGGATCTCGAGTCTTGCTGGTGCTCACACCCACCATCCACCACCTAGTATCCATCACAAAACGCACACTTCACCACACCCCGCCCGCCTAGCCCACGCTCCTGCCCAGGATGGGATAGTGCCCGTCCTTTGTTGATGTGCCTACAGCACGGACTGGGAATCTATATGCCGGTCGTTCCTTTTCCAGGTCTTCGTCGATTTTTTTATAGCTATAACCTTGTAGGGTACGCCACCTACTTCCGACCTCGTGGTTGCTTCCTTGCTGCTGCGTACACTGTATGTCGGCCGGTTGGGACCAAGCTTGCTTGCTCTGTACTCCAAGCGGTTTGAACATCAAAGAACCACCTCCTCTCGTTTATCCCGCCCTTTCACCTTTCTCTCTCTTCCGAGCACTCTAGACCACAAGGCCTCTGTGCCAATGGTTTGTTCCTCGAGTTATTCGACGTCTGTGTTTTCCCTCCACAGTTCAAGCCGTCTACGTTTATCGCCGCACCTCTTGCTTTCGAGTTCTTCATCCGCTCCCATCAACTCGAGTCGTATGGTAACGAGTCGTCTCTGAGATTAACACCAGCTCAATGACTTCTTGAAAAGGTAAATCATAGGTTTTTTTCTCACATTTCGTACCTCACCCATGGCCCTCTTTCTTTCACCTTTCGTAAGCCAAGCGTGATATAGTACCAACGGTCAGACGTCAGCCATTTGTGGAAAAACTCAACAGGACGACCGGTCGATTTCGAAACAAAGATTTGGCGCTCTATGGGCAAATCCGCACAGGAAACTAATCATACCGATCATGAGTGCTAACAACATCTTCAGCAGGCATTTTTACGCTTGTCGTACCTACCAAGCTCTTTATTTTCTCGGATTAGACCCGTCTGGAAGCTGGCAAGGAAATTATCATTCACGAGTCTCCATCAAGTCAACTTTCCGATCGTCATCCTTTCTCTTCTATGCCTTGTTTTTGTGAGAAATACGGCAACCCGTTCTCGACTTTCATTTTCATTTTTTCCTCCATACCTCACTTCATGTCCCTATTATGCCCCCGATCACGACCGTGACGAGGTTTGTCCACGCCGTTACACATCAGAAAAGGGGAGACCCATTCGATGGCGACGACATCGATGCCACGAGTCCAGACACAGGAAGTAAGCTTCTCACCATCATCCTAAGCAGCGCCATCCCCATCGTGGTCCTTCTTTTGGCGGCTGTTGTGATCTGTCTATGCTGGAGGAAGAAACAACGGCGGATACGGCTATTTTCACGAACCGTCACACCTGTCGACGACGAGGAAATAGCAACATGGAAAAACCCGAAGAGTGAAGAGGCCGGGTTTACGACCGGGGACAACACCGACGTCGATGGAAAGAGCAGACCGACAACTGGGGATCGTTTGAACACCAGCCATGGGAAACAACCATCAACAAGCTCGGTAAAGAAACCCGCAAGCGTCATCGTCTACAGTAATCCTCAAGACCAAGCAACAGCTGGAGAAACCCGCGAATCCCTCGACGAAGGGTCGCCTCGGTCCGCCGCACACAGCACCCACAGCGGCTATTACGGAAAGACGAGCATCGACCGCACGCCACTACCACCAACCCCCATCCTCGCGAGAGCTCCCAACTCCCGAGCCGGCCTCACAGACGAGACGGTACCCGGCGATGTCCCGTTCATACCAGCGCCCAAGCGCCAACCCTCTCGGCTATACAAGCTACCGCCAGGCGCACACGCCGTCGGATCATCAGCACCGAGATCGAGACATGGGAGGAAGAGGAGTTCAAAAAGCAGCACCAGCAGCATAGGCGGTTACTCAACCTTCCACAGCAACAACTACAACAACAGGGCAGCATACTACCGAGGCGGAGGCTATACATCCGACACAGGAGGAGGGGGAAGAGGGGCAGGTGGAGGATTTCCCGGGCGCCATTCCCACGACCACGCTCGCACCCGCAGTATGCACCACCAGCATTCACGTTTTCACTCGGGCGTGACGGTTCCTCCGAGGTTGTCGCTTGGTGATGATGCGCGGCTTTCACGGAGACAGTTTTTGAGAGAGGAGGAGATTGGACGGGCAATTGGGTGATTTGAGTATTGCCTATACTTCATGAGCTCTCGTCCGTTATCATCTTCATCTCCATCTCCATCTCTCTCTCTGGCTAGAAAGCCATCCTTTTCCAAGCAGATCTATGATCTGCCTCCATCCACTTCTAAGCACCGAGGTACTAGAAGCTACCTCCCCACACACTTTGCACTTTGTTCTTTTGGATCCGAGGCCAAGTCATGCCTTGGACCACAGTAATGCTGGCTCATTTGCCGAGATGCAGGAACATTTTCTTTTTGAACTTTTGTTTTTTGGTTGGTCTTCAGGGATGACTCACAGCCAGACCAAGCTGGCTGTTGAACTTGTGTTCAGGAACGAAACGAGGAAACTTCATGTTGGATATACCCTTTTCTGGCTTTACTCTCCTTTTCTTTTCTGGGGTTTTCGTTCACTTTCACTGCCATTTCACAAGTATGGAAGCTCTGTTCAGCAGGCCGAAAGGAGATGGGCGTTGCTTCTGGACAGACACAGTCTGGACTGACTTGTGTATTGTCGTGGGTCGTTGGGTCATTTTGTATGATTAGGTTGTATTGGGGTTGGTGGTTTGTGGTGATGTTTGTGTGGTTGTTTGCTGCGAATGAGAAGTAAGCGGCGATTGGGAAGATACGAGGTTTTGAGGAGCTAAAGAGATAACCTGGTAACCAATCTTGAACCAGCCACAAAACTTCACTTGAGTTAGATGCGACTATGGAAGTGAACATTGGACTGAGTGTATTGTCCAAGTATTTGCTGCTGAACATGAACATGAAAAGAATAAAGAGATGAGCTATTACGATGGTCGTTGATGCTACCATACAGTCAAATATTGGTGTATATGTGTTAGCCAGGTACTCGGAACAAACCATATGCAGTCACTGCTGTGACGAAACGATCACCCGAATGTTTTTAAAAAAAAAAGAACATGTTATCGGTTTCCGTGAAGACATGTTCAGGGCGCTTCTGGCCTCCAATCTTGAGCAAGATGCATACAGTTGGATGTAAGAATGCCCATGAGACGTGACCCGAGGTCTAGAGCCAACAACCTTTCCAATGGCAGTTCGAGGCCATTCCGAGTTAATTTCAGGGAAAAGGCCCTTGGTCCGTGCGTCGCGAACACCCTTCACTTTAAACGTCCCTAGCTGTTTAACGCGTCCTCTGGTGACGCGCCGCAATTTTCTCCATCATCCCATCGCATCAATTGCTCCTCCCCACACTCCGCAGTCGCAGTTGAAGGCATTCCCGCAAATCGTAAAGCATTGTTGTACTCCAAAGAACCTACGGGAATTCAGCACTTTTGATTGAATCCAATTCTCCCCAGCAAAAGTACCGCTACGGAAAACCAGCAACTACCAGCCTTGCGAACAACCCATCCCGAATTCAACGACCGACGTACCCCTCCATTAAAAAGCCCCAGACCACCAAGTCACAATGCCACCAAAGAAGAGCGACGGCACTCGTCGCAGCGACGTCTCGGTAGCACGCTTTGTTGTAGCCGACGAAGACACCACAATGGCCGCCACGGGCGAACCAGTTCTCTCCGCCAACCCAGCCTCCGTCCTCGCCGCGGCCGCCCTCGAACGGGACTCTGAACCTCTTCCACCTGTACCCACAACAACAGCAACCTCCGAGAAGCAAACTACACCAGCACCTTCTGCAGCGGTGGCGGCCCAGTCTGTCCGCGCCATGTCAACTACGGGATCAGCAGTAGCAGGACCAACATCACCATCAGAGTCTAAGCGTGGCGGAGGAGGAGGAGGATCAGAGAAGGACAAGGAACGGGAACGAGAAAAGGAACGGGAGAGGGAAAGGGAAAAGGAGCGCGATGCCATCACCATTGAGGATCTCACGCTTCCGAAATCGATCATCACCCGTCTTGCCAAGGGGGTGTTGCCTTCGAATACGCAGATACAAGCGAATGCGATTCTGGCCATGACTAAGAGTGCAACGGTCTTTATCAGCCATTTGGCTAATGCGTATGTCTTCCATCTTTTAACATACTCACTCACGGCACCCTTGGACTCTGACGGTCACTGACGGAAATCAATTAACAGTGCAAACGAACATACCGTATCATCAGGAAAGAAAACCATCATGCCAGCGGACGTGTTCAAGGCTCTAGACGAGATTGAGTACGGGTTCATGCGGGACAAGTTGGAGGCCGAGTTTGCTAGTACGTTACCCACATCATCCCATATCATCCATCCATCCAACCTCATCCCTCATCTTCCCTCCCTTTCTTTGTTCACACCGACAGACGCCCCCCAAACCTTCTTTGCTTCTTCAGCATAACTAACCAATAACCAATAACCACCCATTCACCCACACTACAGAGTTCAACGAAATCCAAACCTCCAAACGATCAGTCTACCGCAAAAAGGTCGCCGCAGCCAAGAAGGGCCTCGGCGGTGGTGGTTCCGGTTCCGTGTCCGGTGGTGGTGCTGGCGGCAGCGTAGCGGGCGACGGCGGCGGCGACGGCAACGACGACAGCGGCAGCGGCAGTAGCAACCAACAGAACCAAAACCAATCCTCTGCACAGACAGCTACTACATCGACAACAGACAGAGAACCAGGGGGACCTCGGTCAGCCAAGAAGGCGAAGGTGGATCATACCTCGTTGTCATCGTCATCAAAGATGGACGTAGACGGAGAAGAGCTGCAAGATCAGGACCCGTCGGATGCGGAGACGGTTCCGGATGAAGAGGTAGATGAGGAGGACGAGGAAGAGGAGGAGGAGGAGGAGGAGGCGGAAGAGGAGGAGGAAGAAGAAGATGAGGAGGAGGAGGAACAACCGCAAGATGATGATGAAGGGGGGGCAGATGAGGAAAGGGCGGGACCGCCTGATGAGGATGAGGCGCTTGTTGATGATGATAGTGATTAAGTTGGTTGGTCAGTCACACACGAAAAACGAAAGAAAATAAGCAGAGGGGATAAATAGATAGGTAGGTGGGTGGGAACTTGGAGGAGGGGGAGACAAGATACCCTCAGTTAGACCCATCAAACCCCCATTATATATATACCAGCAATCGTCGGCGTGTATAGAAGATGAAAAAGGGAGTCAGGAAAATGAGAGCCCTTGGTAGCACGATTTGAAGAATTGCAACAAATGAAGATGCCACCACGGATGAAGCAAGATATCTGATATTTATCTATTCGTATATGGATGGTACTTATCATTTATCTTCCTTCGTGCCACACAGCCTCGAGCCCTCCCTCACTATTTGTAGCCCCTGTTCGTTCGGACCTTCTCTTCCGATTCCTGACCGACGAAATCCTTTGCTGAGGTGGTTCGTTATATACAGATGCCCTTATGACATGGGTGGGGTATATAACGTAGGTAATGACGAACCACAAGAAATATGCCAAAGCTGTTGTTTTGTTTCATGCTAAATCATCATCTGTATCGTCCCACCCCAAACGCTGGTATATACTAACCGGCGGCGAGTTGTTGTCCTTCTCTTTCTTGATCTTGGTAATGCCTCTGCTTCCACTGCTGCTGCTGCTGCTGCTGAAGGGGCGGTTATTCTCACCGGTCCCCGCTGCTGATGAGGTAAAAGCACTCGGAAGCCTAGATTTAATCGGGGTGTCATCCACGACCCCAGCGATCGCAGCGGATACCGTGACGGTCTTTGTTTTTGCGGTTTTGTTCAGCGGGGTCTCCGCAAAGGCAAACCCGGGCGAGGAAGGAGGGAAGTCTCCCGCTGTTGAGGTAGCTGCAGTAGCTCCTTTATTACCGGAGCGGTTACCGAGCGGGGTGGGAGGGACTAGACCTAGGTATCGCTGCTGCTGCTGTTGCTGGTGAGGTTTCGCGCCCCTATTAAACATGGGCGCAATCGCCCCCGCCCCCGCCCCCGCCCCCCTTTGTGCAAAGACCGGCGGCGAAGAAGAAGGGATGCTGTGGGTAAGCAGATCGTCTAATAAGTCTTCTTCCTCCACGATCTGGGGCAGTGATTGTAGGGACTTGCGATTCCGCATAGGAGTTCCCTGAACATGTCGTTTTCGTTGAGGGGTTGTTGTTGTTATCGTTGTTGTTGTTGTTGTTGTTGCCTGCGGTACTTGTAAATGGTCATCTGGACGATGGGGTACTGGTAGTTTCTGCTGTGTGAAGCGCTGTTTGCGCACAGGGGTTGCTTGGACGTGTACATCCACGTTCTTCGACGGGGGTACCGGGGTCGCTTCCTCAACTTCCTCGTCGATTTGAGGGAGGGAAATCTGTGGGACGGACTTCTTCCTTAGAGGAGTCTCCTGGACTTGCTTGTGCGGTGGGATCTGCCTGGCTTCATCTCCTGTTTGAGAAGACGGGTTGCCGCCTTGGCCGGTGTTGGGGGAGGTAGAGGTGGCAAACACATTGGTAAACTTGCGAGGTAGAGTCGAGGCAGGGACAACTGAGGCGCTGGACGGTATGGCGGCACCATCCTCTTCGAAGAGATGATCCAGGTGCAGAGGCTGTGATTCTTTGGTGAATACGTCCTTGAAGCGATTGTTCGCGGGCGTGGCCTTGATTTGCACGCCGGCGGCTCTTGGTTGCTTTTTGTTGAGCTCTGGTAGGCTGTTGTTAGTCTTGCTCCGTACCGAAACGGGATCAGGAAAACACTTACTACTCTTGGGCTGGGCTGTACGTCTCTCAGCCTCCTCGACAATCTCTTTGCCAGCCAGGGCCCGGTTTGGCTTCTTAAGCGCGGAGATGGCCTCCTTGAGCTCGGCCTCGAGACGTGCCTTCTTTTTCGCCTTGGCGTCTTCATTGTTTCCCAAAGACCCGGCGCTCCGCGAGAAGATGGAAACGTTCTTCTCTTTCACAGCTACAGCCTCACCCTTGGGTATCATCCCTAACAGGGGTTCGCTGCCTTCTCTTTTCAGGCCCGGGATTGCAGTGGCACTGGCCGAGCGCAGCAGTGCGATCGTCCCACCTGGTCCCCTCGAGACACTCCGTTTCATGCGCTCATTGGACAGCACACGCTGAAGAGTTCTTTCATTCTCCTTTTTAGTCGCCGTAACTCGTTTTGCGGGAGCGCCAGGCTTTGGCTTGGATGCCACAACTGTCTTGGCCTTTTCTTTGGGGGCTTGTATCACCGGACCGCCTAGCTTGCGGTTGATGGAATCGCAAAGCTCCGGTAGTCGAGCAGAGAAACTGCAGTGGTTTGTCAGCATCCGAGTTCATCTGGTGGTAACCGACAATCACTTACAATGGTACGATAATGTCGACACAGAAATCTCGCAAAGGATCTGAATTGCTATTCTCTGCTGGCGACTCTTGATCGTCAGCAGAAGGCTGTGAATCTGTCAAAGCCTTAACTTCATCCAAAGTTGTGCTCTGCCAAATACACAGGCGATCAGCATGCATATCCAGCAATAGCGGCAGGTTGGTCGTCCTGCTCTTCTTTTTGTTTGCTTCCGGTTTGGCGCCTCCTAACGTTCCTTGCGTCTCCAAGCCCGGCAACTGGCTGTCCTCTGTAGCTTCTACTGGTCTGTTCAGAGGCTCGAGAGCCAGTATCTCGAGTATTATGATCATCTGCAATTGAGTCTCCCGGCGCCGTAGGACCGAGATGTGGTGTTTGGCCTCTGGCGCAGTGGCCATCTTCTCATCGTCCTGTATAGTACTCGGCTTGTGCGTCACCCACCATCGCTCGATATGCTCCTCTTCCGACGGGTATAGTCCATTTTTGCCGAGCTTTGGTTTCTTGGCCCTCTTCTTTCTAGGCTTCGGCTGCGCACGCCCTTGATCGGAGTCCTCCACGACAGTCTTCATCTTGCCGATAACTTCGGGCAAAGTTTCACGATACTTCTTGTCTATCAAAGCTGTCGTCAGGACTAGACTCCTGAGGAAATCAATGAGGTCGTTCATTTCGAGGTTCAAGTCGCAGTCCAAGTGGAAAGCCGCTCGTGCCCTAGAGAGCGGCCCCTTTGCAAAATACGCCAATGAGCCCTTCGAATGGTATAGAGCCTCGAAATACTGCATCCTGATATTTTGGAAAATTCCTTCGGCGGTTGGTTGCGACAATACGTCTTCCGCAAGATGTGGAGGAGCAGCTGGCGGATCGGGCTTGTTCGACACTGTCGGCACCTCGGCTGTTTCTGTGACGGATCGATTTTCGAAGCTCTTGGATTCAGGACTCCCTGATACTGGTGTAGGCAGCTGAGACAAGGGCTCCTGCTCAATAGTAGTTGTCGTGTTTGATCGCTTTCGGATAAGCGAGGATTGAATCTCCTCTATCGCAAGCTTTCGACGTTTCGTCTCCTTGTACATTTGTGGTGTGATTAGGGGGCCCGTAGCAGCAACCTCCAGCTGGGATGGCTTGCAGCTTTTCATCCGTTGGCTCGACACGACCGTTGCGGACTGGGCCAGGAGATTAACGTCGACCCATGACCCAAGCTTGCATAGTATGTATAAACCATCGCTTTCACGCTCAATTGCATATAGCATGCGATTGGCCTCGGATCGGGCAAGAAGTATGTTTGAGCCCAATCGGCCTTCAAGGTCCAAGATCTTAATACGCGATTCGTGGAAGCGGCTAGGGGGGAAATCACCCTGCGGTTGGGAAAGGTCGAGGGCAGACAGAGGCAAGTGTTCTCGTGGAAGAAGCATCAACGGGAATAGAATGCGCGGCTTGTCGGTTAGGCTGGAAGGATGTGGCTAGGAGAACAACAGACGGTCAGTGACTAACGGACATGGGAGGAAGGTGATTCGAGATCAGAATGGCACAAATATACCTTGAGCACAACGGATGCCTTCAAGAGGCCATCTCCCGCTTGAGAGAAGCCAGTTGCCTCCCACTTGCGCTTCCTGACATCAGTGACATCAGGGGAACCATGGCTCTGTCTCGTGGGGGGAAGTTGTTTGACTGGTGATGCTGGTATTTCCGGAAACGCTAGTCCTGTGGCGACCGCTAAGGATGGCATCGGTGCAGATATAGACCTTGATGACGTTGGACGCGACGCGCCAGAAGTCCGTCTGAGCGAAGAGGACATAGTGATATGCTAGATATGTTCGCCATTAATGTTGTTGTTGTTTGTTAACTAGTTTCAATGATGGACATGGCGACTTGGATTAGGCTCAACGGTTGCGGAATCTGTGGGAATTGAATAAAGCTGTCTCTCTGTTATGTGTTGCTATTGTCCCGCCTTGATGGTCAGATGGCTTGTGGTCCGTTCCGCATTCCCGTCGCGCTCGACGCGCAATGGTGAATTTTCCAATTAAAGTACGCGTCTAGGTGTCGCGCTTAACTTCCAAAGCGTCATAGCTCTTGCGCTGCTTCGGCGCACATGGTCCAAGCCCGCGCCACATTGAGGAGGTGATTCTCCGGCTGAGATGATCCCCGTTGATTGGTTCGGTGGAAACCTGGAGAAAGACCACGGCGCGCCCCGCAAACCCGTGTGGCTTAGCAGAAGCTTGAACTGAGATTGTCCGACTGCCAAGACATCCGTCAACGCCACGGGCTTCCACACATCTTTTTCAGTTTGAGTGTTGCATGTGTCACAGCGGGGGAGGTCAAGAGCTTCCGCGGGTCCAGTTCCATATTGCTCCCCTCACTCAAAGTCAAGTAAACTTTCAAAGCAACGACAGCAGAGATTCGATCCAATCGCACCTCCAGGTCGGACATTGGACCGGGAGAAAGAAGCCGGTCAAATGAACCTTTGACCCGAAATTCCGCATGTCTATTGTTTCAAAAAGCTTATATCTGGTACGACAATCAACAATTCCTATGTTCCGAACCTCCCAGGCAGATACGAACGAGGGCAAGATGAGATGAATGGTGGTTCGACCTCGGAATCCCCTCTGTGGTCAAGTGCGCTGTGAGCCTGGTGGGCGGACGCGGTGGCAATTCCCCGATCGATCATGTCGGCCGCGTTCAATGTCCGATCCTCCTACAGGATTGAGATCTTGGGCGCTTTTGCAATGGCCCCTCCGGCTCTGAAAGTGGAGGTTGATCAAAGCCTTTATTGCCGTCCCGTGCGAATCCCGTGTGAACAGCCCCAGACAAGCACTGGCTCGGTCAAGAGCAACGAACTGCCACTGGCTCGCGCACCAGTAGAATCAGCACCGGCCAGCCTTGTTGCACATGTCTTGGTTTTTGCGCGACCAGGTCCAGGACTGGCAGTGACTGGCTACCAAACTGGACCAAACCCGTTGGAAATTGCCGCTCACTAGCAATGCTACAGGATGGATGCTAACTAAAACCATGGAGCGGCATTAACTATCAAGGGATCAGGTTGTCAGAGCAAGCAAGGGAATCCAGTTCTAGAATGCCATTCACCACTGATCGGATGAGGGAGTGGCTTTTGGCACCAAACTAACGAACAAACTAGGGCTGGATTGTACATCTCTGCTCCAGTCTTTGCCAATGTCTTTCCCGCTCTTCTACCCCAGAAAGCGAGGCGGCGGGTGATAGTCACAATGCTGCAGGTCAGTGTTGCTCCTGAGCACGTTGCTGCTTCATTTGTTCCTTCTGGCTACATTGTGACCTCTGGGTGTTAGTGCTAGGCCGTGATGCCCTCTCATTTTTGAGGCTGTTCCTGACCTTCTTAACACCGCTTGTTAGAGACTGTTTGTTCGAACAAAAGTCACCTCAAGGTTGCAAGAGAGTTCCACTTTACCAGGAGCGGAAGTGAATAATACGGTAGTGTAGTGATAGGGCCAGGGACGGGCCAAGACAGGATCACTAACACAGACTCCGCCAACGTCCAACCGGTCCCCACTCTCCAGGCTCTCCATTTGAGTTTGAAATGAGACTCTCGTTGGTCACCGTTGGATGCTGCTACCGTGAGAGTGTGGGCTCGTTAGTGCCGTCAGTGCAGACGGAGCTGCTCGTACCTAAACTGAGCTAGCCTGCAGTGTGCTTGCATCGGTGCCATCGGGCCACACTTTGCATTTCTGTTATCAAAACCCGCCCCGGATTATTAAGGTGCAGCTTGAGGAGCAAAAGGCCCACGGGCATCTGGGTGTAGACTGCCCCCTACATACTCGGCGGCACCTGCACTTCAAAGTATGACTTTTTCAATGCGGGAATCCCACCTCTCTCCACCTTCTCTGCCAGAGACATCACGAACTTTCTCTTCCCCTCTCTTTTACTCGTCTGGGACAACCCAACGCTACTGCTGTCCGACCGCCTTATTGTCGAGACCGTTTTCTATGGTGAGACGGGTGCGACCTCACAGTACAGACCGCCTGATAACCCCCAGGAGCGCTACCGCACTGCCCCTGGCACGGACCGAACTGGACTAGGCCGGACTGGTGGTACCTTAACAATAAAAGTCAATAACAGGCAGAGCGCCCAGGTTGGGTCCCAAGTTCCCGCCCACTGAAGACGGCCCGGGACCGCCGTGGACATCGCTGCATCGCTGCATTCATCCCGACGCAAGGACTCCCCCTTTTCCGTCGCCACTAGGGCCCCAGGCCGCGACAATCTTCGAACCCCGAAACACTGGATACAGCCGTTTTCCATTATTTACGCCGCCGCTGACATAAACGATCAATTGATCCATCTCCGACGGCCCTCCCCTCATTTCTGGCTTGCACCCCATGGACAAGCAGGGCCCGCGTGTCAGCTTTGTTTCCCCAAGCAGTGGGTGATTTTGCTGCAGCCTACTACTATTCTACGACTCTGTCTATACATTCCTTGACCTTGACATCGACGACGACGAACGACGACTCCCACCGAGGACTCCGACAGGCAGACGACGACCCCGACCACCGGACCCGACGGGACCACCGCCCCGACGACTATCATCCCAAAGAAGAGAGAAACACGCCGAGCACGCGACACAGATATACACATACACGCACACACCTACGCAGCCACTGACCGATATTGACTCTTACGTATCGACACCGCCATCGACCGCGACCGCGACCGACCTCTCCGGACGGACGGACGGACGGCCGGCCTCGTATCGCATCGGGCGGTGAACAGTCGACGACCATCATCCCGCTGACGATTGACGATCCAACCTCTCCATTATTACATACAATCTCTCGACCCACAATGGCCAGCGAGCTTTCTCCCCGTGCTGTGCGCTTCTCGCAGACGGACGATGAGCCGATTGCCCGGCCCGACAAGCACAAGACTGTGTCCCGACCGCAGATTTCCCATGGCAACGATTCGGACAATTCCAATTCCTCACCCGACGCCCACGAGGATCACCACATCCGGGAGCAGATTGACGAGCTGGGTTCTTTGAGCCGATATGTCGACAATCATGCTGGCTCGGTCCCTTCTCTGGTGACCGGGTCCCTGACCAGCTCCCTACCTCTACAGGTGACCAATGGATCGAGCAGTCGCCGCGGTGCTAGCTCCGAGACCTATGCCAATGGGACTCCGTCGCGACCACAGCGCCCCACCGCCCCTGCCAGGACGCCCTCCAACACATATCAGCCCTACAACCAGCGCAGGCCCCCACAAGGCCCGCCTTCGTCCTATATGGGCAACGGGCCCCACGCCCGCGACGGCTCCAGACCACGCCCCTTGAACGGCACCTCGACCTTCAGGGCCCAGGAGAGAGAGTATGTGCGCCGATTACGTCAACAGGACTACAACAGCGACTACTTCGACGCTTACGGCTCCGGTGAGCAATACGATTCCGACTCGGAAGGCGAAACGCCATCTTCCGAGGGCCCGTTCGACAGCTACGATGATGCGCATATCATGTTCGTTAATAACGAGGACATTCAGATCACCGAGGATGACCTGAGAGACCCCGAGAGCCGCGAGAGATTAGAATGGCACGGCATGCTTGAGGCTGTGCTCACCGGTGATGTCGTGAGGCAAGAGAAGAAGCGTCTCATCGGCTCCAACGACGAGGAATTTGCAAAGTCAGCCCACAATGTAGAGCTATGGCTTGGGATCCGGGCCAGGTTATGCGGTAGGCATCTGCCAGTCCAGAAGAGGGTTGTGGAAGACGCCCGTGCAGCGCTGGACCGATCCATCAACGACATCATCAACTTTGCGATTGCTGGAGAGAGCGAGGCAGGGAAGCCGCCATTCGAGCAGGTTCGCGACGTGGTCAACAAGATCGAAAAGATCGAGAGCCTCTATCCGTCCAGTAGGGAACTCATGACCGCCCTCAAGCCTGGTGTTTATTCCGCCTATCAGGAGACATGCGACGCGGTGATATCATGGTACAACGTCAATGAGATGATCAACACGGAGCTGTCGATCCTGAAAAAGTGGGTCGGCAACGATGCTCTGGACTTCTCCCGCACCAAGGAAAAGTCGCCTAGTGGGAACGGCCTCAGTGACGAATCATCTTTCCTCGATCGTCTCATGAAGGAGGAGGGTCTCAAGTCATTACACGAAGACAACGGCTCGGAACCGAAAAGCTTAAAGAAGAAGAGCAGGCTGGATGGCATCTCTCGCGTCATCACCAAGGCTAAGGATACGCTCATCGAGAATGCCGAAGCCTTCCAGAAGCGCCATCTCCCCCCATACATTGAGGAGTTGCTCACCCTCATCAGCTTCCCATCCCGACTCATCGAGGAGATCATCAAGATGCGGTTAGCTTACGCCAAGAAGATGAAGGACTCGGCACAACAAAACCCCATGATGCAAGATCAAATGATCGCACAGTTCCAGGTTCTCCTGAAGCTCGCCATCAAGATCAAGTGCGAGTATATGGAAATTGCTCGCCCGGAGCCCGGTTGGGACTTGCCTCCATGTATCGATGAGGATTTCGACCGTGTCATCCTGGATGCCCTCAAGTACTATTTTAAGCTGTTGAACTGGAAGCTCAGCGGCAACAAGAACACCTTCAAGGAGGCCGAACTGCTCTTCCAGGAGTGGGGTTTCGGAAACGAAATCGGGCGTTACTTGACACACGGCGACGTGGAAGTCGCGGAACAGTTCAGTTCTCTAACCTTCAAGGCCTGGAACCGTCTGAGCCAGACTTTTGAAAAGGAGCTTCAACGAAGGCCGAAAGAGAGCGTGGCTGAGATGACGAAGCGGTATAAACAAATTCTAGACTCCGTCCGAGTTCGGCAGCGAATGCTGCAGCGTTTCTCCAGGATGTTGAACGACAACTATGAGAATGCATGCGATTACACCATCGCTTTTGATACTCAGCGGCTCCAGGAACTTTTCGACCGCCTGATGGAAACGGGCCATTTCCAGGTTTACAGTGGCAGTCCGGAGCACAAAGACATACTCATTATTGCCTCCCCGACACTTCTTAATCGTGACGATGAGATCCAAGTGCTGATGGGTACCTTCTCATATGAGGCTGCCATTGAGGATCCATCTGACCCCTACCTTCTCCTCATCAAAGCCGAAAATTCACCACAGTGGTTTGGGCCAATCCATAACCTCAGAGTCCGCGATGAGCCTTTGGACATCAAGTTGGGACATATGCGACTTATCGCCGGCGGCTGCCAACCCAGACTGTTGAGTGCGCGCAAGGCCTTCATCGAGGCGATTGATATGCAGATCGACCCAGTCGTAGAGCAGCGGTCAAACTTGCAAAAGGTCAACATCAGGCTGATGGAGATCCGCAAGGTTGCCTTCAAGCTCTCGAACGCTTTCATGGACAGTGTGGAAGCCATCCGCCGACAGACACGGGGTCTCAACTGCCAAGAACTAATACAGACGTGCTTCATCTTCGCAACCGAGTTCGGTCAGCGGTCTTTGCTGTACATGGACAATAACCGACGCACGATGAACAACCTGAAACTGACCAAGCTTGCCTTGGACTGGGTGAGCTTCATCTGCGACGACTGCATCTCCTCAGATCGGAAAACCTTCCGTTGGGCCGTGCAGGCTCTCGAGTTTGCCATGGGCATGACGCGTGGAAGACACATACTAGCCCTCGGCGATGATGAGTATGCGAGATTGAGGGCCAAGGTTGCTGGGTGTATGGCGCTCTTGATTTCTCACTTCGACATTATGGGTGCCAGATCTAGCGTGGCCGCCCAGGCGGAGAAGCAACGCTTGGAAGGCCTCGTCAATCAGATCAAGCGCCTCAACAAGGGTCAAATGTTGGATGACAATGAAGCAGCCAAATACTACCAAGAACATCGCCTGGAAGAGCTAGCAAGAGTGGACAACTACAGAAAGGAGATTTTGCTGCAACAATCTGCCATGGGCAGAGTCTTGGAAGCTTCTAACGAGGTGGATCGGTCACTTGCGTGGCTCTCCTCGACAGCGACCAACTTCACCATGAGATGGCAGCAAGGTCACTTTGTGGGTGGTGGAACTTTCGGCAACGTGTACGCGGCTGTGAACCTTGATACCGGTCAGCTGATGGCCGTGAAGGAGATTCGCCTGCAAGATCCTAAACTGATCCCCAGTATTGCTGGTCAGATCAGGGATGAAATGCGGGTTCTGGAGACGGTCGATCACCCCAACGTGGTTTCTTACTACGGTATCGAGGTCCATCGAGACCGCGTGTACATGTTCATGGAGTTCTGCTCCGGAGGCTCTCTTGCCAACCTGTTGGAGCATGGCAGAATCGAGGATGAACAGGTTATCATGGTTTACGCGTTGCAGCTTCTGGAAGGTCTTGCGTACCTTCACGAGTTGAAGATTGCTCATCGCGATATCAAACCAGAGAGTAAGTTTTTCCTTCCATTTGCTTTCTGCCAAAGAATTTTTCCTGGTGCTAACAACGTGCTACAGATATCCTCCTCGACCATAACGGCATAATCAAGTATGTCGATTTTGGTGCGGCCAAACTCATCGCCCGCCAGGGACGGACGTTAGTACAAGACCTCACCAGCACCAAGCCCAACAAGTCGATGACAGGCACGCCCATGTACATGTCGCCCGAAGTGATCAAGGGTGAGAATCCCGGTCACTTCGGCGCGGTTGACATTTGGTCTCTCGGCTGTGTCATCCTCGAGATGGCGACTGGCCGAAGGCCATGGGCCAACCTGGACAACGAGTGGGCCATCATGTACAACATTGCCCAGGGCAACCCGCCCCAGCTGCCCAGTCAAGACCAGCTCAGCCCTCAAGGGATCGACTTCCTGCGACGCTGTTTCATCCGGGATTCCACCAAGCGCGCGACCGCCATGGAGCTGTTGCAGCACGAGTGGATCATGACCATCAGGAACAGAGTTGTCGAGCCCGCCACCCCTAGTAGCGACGCAGGTTCAACGACGAGTCAAGGCATGGTCAACCCAGCAAATTCTTCACGGAGCAGCTTCCCCGGCGATGGGATGTACTGATCAGGATTTCTGAATTGCTGCGAGTCTCCGTCCGGGGTCTGGGTCTGGTCTCTGACTGAGAGAGAGAGAAGAACAGGAGGAGGAGGAAGGCGTGGGCATGGCATGGCATGTTATGGCTCTAAGCGACAATTACCTTGGCACACTACCGATTGCCCATCTACTTCTTTTCATAACACACAAAGCAACAACAACAACAACAAACATTTCATCCTTTTTCGAACGGCACATGCGCGGATACGATACCCCCTTAGCTATCTATATTTATTTGGTCAATGGACAGAGACGAGCGAGCGAGCGAACGGCACATAGATGGGCTGTGGAACTTTGGTCGAAGTATGATGAGGATGAGAGGCAAGAGGAGAAAACAGAGAGAATTGTTGACACTGTTGCTTCGTGGTGGCGGTGATGATGATGGTAGGGAGTGAGTACCTAGGTACTTAGGTGAAAGCCAGGGAAGGAATGGGGTTTAACAAAAACACTCAAAGGACGGGCAGGAAAAAAGATGCAATTGGAGGAGTTTTGTTCTACTACGGAGGAGGCAGGCTGGCAGGCCGGCATCCGATAATTCGTGTGTATAGGATGGAGGTTAAGGTGATAGGACGGAGGTTGGTTGCTTGTTGTACGTGCGTGTTTAATCCATGGAATGTGTGAGTCCGCAGGGTTTCGCTTCGCGCCTGACGTCAGCAGTACCAAGTTACATGTGCGTGGATGTGTTCCGGGGTAACGTTTGATGCAATGGATGGGCAAAAAAAAACTCTTCTATGAACCAGATCGTCTTTCCGGGCAAGGTTTTGCTTTTCGAGAGTTTGTGTGTGTGCGTGTGGTACGGAGGATCGAAAGGAAGGGAAGCGTAATCAGATATAGCGAGCGCAAGTGGACAGACAGACAAGACAAACTTGACAATATCCAAATTGTTAGCCAAAGTATAGAATAGAAAAACACAAGTAATATTTCTTTTTCAACCAACCACTCATGGTTTGTTTCTCTTTGGCGGCCGCGGCGATGATATGATCGCACGTAGCACCGTGAGGAAGGAATATGCGAAAGCGATCTATTTCTTCCCGCCCCCTAGAGGTAACATGGATGTCAACACCTCCTTCTTTCTGTCTGCCTTCACCCAGATTTCGTACATGTATGTACCAGGGTTTGCCGGTTGTTTATTCGGTATTTCTTCCGGTCCGCGTTACGTCCTCCCGTGTTCCCGTTACTTTATTACATACATACACGGCATTTGGTACACGGCATTCCCCAACCCAATATATTATCCCCGGTACGGCGGTAGTGTACAGCAATTGATACCCGCCGGCCGGATGGTCCACCCGACTCGGCACTCAAACTATATAGTATATCTGTGACGAATCCCGCCCCCCAAGTCCAAACGCACTACCTACGGTCCGGTCCGGTACGGTTCGGATAAAGACAGACAACAGGCCAGCGGCAGCAGGTTGTAACCTGGAAAGCTCCTAACATGTAGTGTAAACATGTAACCACCCTCGCTGGGCACACACCCGCCCGCCCCTTCTGACCCCCAGCCGCTTGAACTCCCGTCGACCGGGCCTTCCCTTGGGCATTTCATGTATAGCATCATATATATAGGTATGTAGTCCATCTGGGAGTACATAGTAGAATAGATTCTGCCAAGACGTAATAATGGGCGGCTGGGCTGGCTGGGTTGATGGTTGATTGATATAAAAGCCACCACCGCCACTGGACTGGACGACGACTTTGCGCATCATGGTAGGTAGGTACCACTAGGCATCTCGACCATCAGTAAAGGAAGGGGGACGACGAAGTGGGAACGGACGATGAACGTCAAAAGAAGCGTGAGTGCCCTGGAAGACGAGCCGTCGACGACGCTTACTGTGTACATACACTAGAACTACACTGGTGATCGATGATCAACATGTTGATCCACGAAGTACCGACCGACCGACCGACCGGTAGTGTAGCGTACCAGTAGTGTACAGTACGACCACCGCGAGGTCTGCGAATCTTGCCAGTCTGCGGGGGGGGGGGGGGGGGGGGGTGCGTGCAGGTCAGTATTCTACACTAATGACAACTTGTCACTGGCTGGCAAGTGCGAAGGGGGTGTGCCGGTTATGGTACTGTTTCATTTCATCCGTTTCATCGTTTTCATTCCCTACCATACCAGGCAGACGAGCCCCACGGCATGTACATCGACCCAGGCATTTGATGTGCTGCTGCTCTGTTCGACAGTCGACTGGCATGCACATTGGATTGCATCCGGGGATCGTTCGGGATGTTTCTCCCTCCCTCACCTCACCTTACCTTTCTACAGTACCCTTCCTACCCGACCACCTGTCTGACGAGCCTAAATAAGTGTATTTACTAGTTAGGGGACTATCGAACACACTAAAAAGCTTGGACTCCTTCCAGCAAGCAAGTTCGGTTCCCTGCCCGAGACCCGAGACCTGAGTCGTTGGGCCGTCAAGAGTCTCGGATTTTTTGAAACACAGCGACATTCCCGAACGGACATTCCTCCAAAAGGTTTTGTGGTCCTGAATGGCAGGTCCAGTCGGTCGGTAACCCCACAAACGGCAAGAACCGATGACGATCCGCGATCCCGACAATAACTGGAACATGCTCAATCAATAGTTCAATACATAGTAGCAGGAACTATAGAAAAACCGTTAGTGGAAATCTTACGGAATGTCGGAATGAAACTGGAATGCGATGATGCATGTGGAAAATGGAAAATGGAAGAAAAAAGTGGACGACGAAGAGGCCCCTCCCAAAAAAGAAGAAAAAAGCTTATATTGACCGTGCTCAACTCCAGAACTTCAGAGTTCAGACGGAAGCACCAAGCAAGCAAGCAACATGTCATGTCGTCAAAAGAGGAGCCCCTCGTTCCCGCCGCTGCCGCCGCATTTGTTTTTCCCCCGCTCCCGGAGGTCCCGAGTCCCGATGTTCGCCCTAGGTCCCATTCACTTATGTACCACGATTTCGACTCCGGGCCCGGATCCATCCAGAGCCCCGGGATTCCTTTTTTAACCCCAAAAGGTTCTGCTGCTACACTAGAATCTCAGCACATGGGGATGGTTGAAAAAAAAAATCATGAAGATGGATGGATGGATGGATGGATGGATGGATCCTCCCGACCTCCCGACCCCACTCACTACCCTTACCTTTACCTTACCCTGACGAGCTGAAGCTGAAGCTGTTATGAGTGAAGAGCTGACGAAGCCCCAACCAAGCCTTGACTAGGTCCAGTCCCAATCTGATTATTTGACTTTGACATTTACACCAAGGAGCGGGAAAAAAAAAAAGAAACATTAAAAGTCTTTCCAAAGACTTGAATTTTGTTGCTGGATTTTTGGGTTCACAAGGCTGGCTTCCAAGGAAGGCTTGGTGGTGCCAATCACGCAATTTGCACTACATACATACACTCTTGGGTTTTCTGCGTGAAACCCTTTTTTTCCCCACCCCAGCAGCTCCGACAGTGACGTGGTGTCGAACTGTCATGTCATGATGATGAGAGAGTCACAGGAGGTGTTCCCACTTTTTTTCTTTACTGATAAAAAGGGATGCTTGGATCACAACAGGTATGGTTTTGTCTGTCGGTATGTGAAGCTGGAAGCGGCCAAGCTCTTTCGGTTAAGTATGGTATGTATGGTCAGTTCCATGGTGAGGATTCCTCACCAGGTGACTACAGTACTTCCTTGTCGTCACTTACCTATCCTGTCACCCCCACCCCCTTTTTCCCAACGTGTTGCAATATTTGAAACTGATAACTTCCCGACTAAAAATGATTTCTTCACGTCAATCATCCAACGGCGATGATACCTACAACGGATCCTTTGAACGCCCCTTCGGCAAATAATAATCGACCACTGGCCCCCCCCTATAGTGCCACTTTGCATCCCCGGCGGGAACCTCCGAATCTTATTTGAACCTCACCTTACCTTCTTCACCCAGACGCACCACAACACAACTGTCAGACAGACGTATCCATGGTGAGATAGGATTTTCTTTCTTTCATACTCAATGTATCTTTCATCATCCATTGTCCACCTCTTGATACCCTTCCCCCATGTCCAGTGACAAAAGGGGGAACAGAAGAGATGATAGAGCTCGAAAAGCGGAACGCACCAAGGGGGTTCTGCCAAAAACTGCCAGACACAATTCCTCTCCTTCCGCTTCCGTATTTCATAGCCCGTAAATGGGCTATCAAGGCATTAAACCCACACCCGGACATAAACAAACCACCCACAGGCGCCTTTCCTTCCTTCCTTCCCTTTACTCCCCTCCCAAGTTCCTTTGCGTGCGGGTATCCGAGGCCCAAACCGATCTCCCCAAGATTCCAACCCAAAGAAAGAAAAACCCGTCGTGTATATATGTGCCCTTGTTCCACCCATCGTATAAATGCGCCCAAATACTCCTTTGCACCAAAGTTTGACAAGAAAATCCTACCTCCTTCCCATCAATCCATTCGCTCATATCCCTCTCTAATCGTTTCGCTGATTTTTGGACCTTGCCCTATCTTCAGCGGACGCAAAGCGGTTGATGCCATCTGAAAATATGTGAATCCGGATAATTCGCGTTTGTGAGTACGCTTTCTTAGTCGGGAGGCATACGATGCTGCGAAAGGAAATGTTGGTACATTGCGTCCAAGAGGACCACAAGAACAAGATCAACGCATCTCGAAGCATACATCGACCTACGTGAGAGGAAGCCAGCAGCTCAACAGAGCAGTCTGTTAATCCAAAAAGTATGGTCAAAGCAGCTAAAAGAACGACGCCCAGCAAGCTGCGCCCCAGTCCGGCCATTTCCTCACTTCTCGTGGTTGTTGAAGTCCTGAGGGGTAACATTCTGGGCAAACTGGAATTGTTGCTTCGCCCTCAACTGGCCAACCGGCGAACACCGTGACGAAGACTCAGGTTGGTATGACTCCGGAAAGGTGTATTCGGTATTTCTAGCCAAATGACTTCCGCCGCTGTTTCCGAATATGTTGTTATATGCCGGTCCGATGGCGGGAGCAAATGAAGGAGTTACGGGCTGACTGGTAACATAACCAGGCAACTGCGGCGCCATGGAGTAATCCAACTCAGAACACCCATTGCTGCATAAGCCAGGGGTGGGTAGAGGCTCATCCGGAGACACGTAATTCCAGGTGTTGTTGGCCGGGACCGGGTATGCGAATGGATCACGGAAGTTAACACCTAGCCCGGGCGTCCCGGGTGGTGTCTTGATGCCAGCTTCAGATTTGAATGGCGGCATGGACATTTCACCAACTGTCCCAAGAGAGCCAAATGTATATGCCTGCTCATCATCCGAGCCGTTGGTCATGGGGGACATGGCGCTGTTCAGAGACGCCATGATTGGGGAATGGACGTTCTGAATGCTCTGTAGCAGGGCCTCCTTCTTTCGATCAATGGTGAACGGAGAGCGCGGTCCTCCTAAGTTCAACGTCATGGATTTTTGTATGCGTCCCGTTAAGCTTCCAGTCGCGGACGAGATTCTCCTAATGGTTCGTGCATTGTCCATCCGCCTGGGCGCTACGTCGATACCCGTCTTCGGTCCGTTTTCGGAACAGTCAGTGCGAAGCGACAGAGGCCCCAGCGGCGCTGGACGCCGCAGGTTTCTGCGGCTGGCAATGTCGGAAGGCGGAGGCGGTGACCTGAGGCGCAAGTCCGCTACCACTGGAGACGAACCGGTCCCGGAAGAAGGAGACATGCTTCCACAGTTGATCGCACCCTCGATTGACATGCGTACCGTTGGATGTTCAGTAGTGCCGTTCCCGGTTCCATCCTGGCCTCCCATATGCGTGGGATATGACCCATCAGAAGGGTGCATATACATGCTCCGCTCGGTGTAAGATCCAAACTGATTCGCCTCACTAAGTAAGCCATCATGCTGTGGCATGGTGGCTACGGGAAGACCATCCACGGGTCGTGGTAGCTGATTCAGACCATACGGAAAAGGGGCCGGCTGTGGATACTCCATATGGCTCGAAGCTGAGCCATAAGAGTTCGAGACGGTTGCCGGTGTAGCAAGGCTGGCAAGCCCATATCCACGGGAACCGGACGAGTGTGGCGTGTCGTAATCAGCAGGAGCGAACCCATCACTATCCGATCCAGATGGGGAGGCATTGCTTTGCGTAGCCGAGGCATTTCCAGCTAATACCATATCTGAGTGCTCGGGGTCCGGACGCTGTCGATCAGATTTATCATTGTTGGCACCATCCTCGTTCCCGATAGAAGCGGTTGATAGGCTAAGGGGCTGATGGCGGTTGCTTAGGCCATAAAACTCGGTGACGGTGCCTTGGTCCTGGTCGTCCGAAGGTTTGGATTCGGACTCTGCTCTTTCCCTCGCTTGTTGTGCTTCAAACTCGGCTGTTTTCCTCATTTGCTTCTCCTTTGCTCGTCGGTTTTGGAACCAATTCTAACAGACGATGTTAGCTCACGAAACAACGGGAGGATTCAATCTTGCGAGAACAAACATTAATCCTTGGGACCTCAACACCCATCTGCTCAGCCAGCTCACGTTTAAGACTGGTGTTGGGCTTCGGGTTTTTGGCAAACTCTCGTTCCAGCAGCTCAACCTCATCCTTTGCCAACCTAGGTTTGGGCTCTGTTTGCTTTGAAGGGTGTAGGCTTCCTGGCCCCACCATCATCGCTGCCCTCTGCTGTTGAAGAACCGTCCATTGATAGGTATTCGGATTCCAGACTTGATACTGCGGGCCATGGTGCTGTGTATGTTGTGGGCCAGCAAAGCCCATGCCCGGGTAGTATTGCTGCTGAGCCTGCTGCTGGTAATATTTCAATAGTTCCGGATCCATTGTCTCTAGTTCGCCGACACTGTCAAGATGACGAGAGGCGAGTTAGTAAGTTGGTCGACTGGGTATGGCAGTATGAGCGGTCAAACTAGAGACTGGAGATTCAGAGCCTCAGCATAAGAGTGATCCAGTTCTCGGTCAAGAAACCCAGGAAACCGGATGACGTCTACACAGGGGCTCTCTCACACGACTCTCTGTCTCGGGATGGGATGATAAAGGGCTGATGGGTTTGCAAGAAGGAGTGACTGAGGGTCAGATGAACGAGAAAGCGGCAGACTCTCGGTTGATATGAAAGAACGTGTGGGTCAAGCAGAATACCAGGGCTAAGAAAGAGCAAGGGGGTGGACCGGTTGGGGGGCTTAACCAGTTTAAGAGTGAGCAAGCCGCCAGGAGGGGCGAGCTGGCAGGGGCTACAAGGTTCGATGAGATTGGGGAGATACGGGCGGGAGCGGGAAAGCGAGACACGGGCGAAGTGACGATGTGTCGGTTCACCTTGGTCTCGCGGATCCCTAGCAAGACTGAAGGCGGCAAGGACAAGCAACCTGAATCCAGAAAGACGAATCACAACAGGGACTTACAGGATGAGGAGAAGTGAGGGAGCGAGTCTTGTCTGGCCTGGAAGCAATCCCCAGCAGTGATGTCGGCGGTTGAAGAAGGATATGGTTTGATGACAAGATGTGCTGTGATTTGCGCCGTGTGAGGGCCAGCTCGACGGGAAGAACGGGGATGAGAGCAAGAAGAGGAGGACCCAGAACCTGAACAGCAACACAAGCAAGGTGTACGGAGTCTTGTACAGATCTAATCGGCATGTACCTCTGGCTTAGTGTCGACGGTCAACACGCACGGGCAAGCACCCGTTGAGGCGGCGCTAGGCCGGTAGCTGGCTATGTACTTGTTACGTGGGAGCCTCGGGGGAGGTCTCTAGGGCGGAAAGTGGATGGATGGCCGGGAGGGAAGTGCTCAAAGCAGTGTGGGTGTTCATGACAGGGGCTCACGAGTGATCCACGTCTGGGCACCGCGGAGAGGGAGCAGGGGGGGACTGCCCTGGTTGTCGCCCTGGCTCCCCCGGTCGCCCTGATCGCCCTAATGAGATACTTTTTTTCTTTCTTGACTTTTTGTATGTGTAGTGTACTGTAAAGACGGGATGGCGCTCCTGACCAATGTTTCCGTGCATATACACACCAAACACATCCCGAATCATCTGTGAAGTCTCTTGATATCGATATAGCCGCTGGCACTGCAACTCCTTTTGCAATCATCAAGTCACGGCTGGGTAGACTCGCGACACGGGACAGCCAGCTCAAAGGTATCTGTTGTCTATAAGAGCAGCACTTGGACAGCTTTACCAGTGACACGACATCTTGGGTTGGTTAGCCGACCCGCTGACCAACTCCCCGGCGCATTTCGTGCTCTGATGGATCAGAACCACAAGGTGGAAGTACGGGGTATCGGTACATGGCTGACAGGGATGTAACACAGTGTGCAAGATGGAGAAGGGTGGGAAGCTTGGTGTGGTTGGGGTTGCGAGCTTGAGAGCTTCATCAGCCAGGGTTCCCATCTTGGGTGCACAGACGACATGGGCTGTGAGGGGTGCAGCGAAAAGGGGACACTGGGGGACTGGAAGGGTTAGAAGGGGAGCTGGAAGAGACAAGAGAGCGACGCTGGCCGGGTCTTTTGAGATCCGTCATCCATGCGCCCTGAGAAAAACTAATCCCACCCTGCAGAGCCCCACAGAGTGAACGAAGACGAACATGGCATCAGGGGTCAAGATGATCATGGAGGTCCTGGCTGGGAGGAGGCTATGGACGAAGCACCTGGCTTGTCTGGAACCCAGAGTGCCAAACTCGTCAATGCATCGGAGAGCTCGTCTCTGGCCGCTGGAGAGGACTGGAGATAACACCGTCTCGCAACCATTCTCACAACATGCCCAGTGTAGACTAGAGACACCCGACCCAGCTCTTGCTGAGATGACCTGGGTGTTGAGCAAAGAAGACGGCGCACTCGCACAACCCTTAGGGATCGACTCTGTCCCATCGACCAATGGACGCTGGCTTGACGACTGTATCCCTGGCGCGGATGCAGGCTCATTGCAGCTCAATGATACCCTGAAGAGTCCTGAACCTCAGGGAGATGCATGGGTGCGCGCCTGTGCTCTTTGTCTTGCAAGCAACTGATTCGCAACACTTTGAACGAAGACGACGGGACCGACGTGTGGGCTGGAGCTGACTGGGGACTGGCGAGGGATCCAAGGGACAGGCCGGACTGTGGAGGGTGTTGGAGTCCAGTGTGTGCCAGCAGCCAGCTCGCCAACTTTGCCAGCTCTGCCAGTGGAGGCGCGGGACGGCGCTGCGGAGAGAACTTGCGGTTACTGTAGGAGCGGTAGGTAGGTGTGCCCGTGTGGGAGCTCTTTTTATGTAGCCGAAGTAGTGTAGCTTATCCGTTGGAAACGGCTGAGTGTTCTAGTCTCGCCGTTGAGAGACCGTTTCTTTTTTAGTGCGAATGGTGGAAATTGTCTAGAAAAAGAAGAGGAGTCCCAAGGGGTCCAAAGAGAGAGAGTTAGATAAGCACAAATGATATGGCCCGAGCTGGAGGGTCCCAATTCCCAAGACGCAAGCATAGTAGAGGTACCTACCTGGTGGGCCAACATATAGTGTACCTTGCCAGGACCCCCAAGAAAACCGTTGTGGGCTGCGGTGCTGTGGCCTGTGGGGGAATGTGAGACCGCTTGCTGACTGGGGCGGGCAGAACACGAGATGAGATGAGGAACGGAAACTCTTTGATTTCTCTGGGAGGAGTGAGTGACGGCTTGACGATTCTAGCGCAGGAACCGCCCAATCGGGAGTCTGTGGTAAATCCGAGAGAAGCGGTGGTCTGGAATGGGCGAAATCATGGGATGATGGGCCAAAAGTGGGCGTCTACTGCGTACGGTGCAGCGCGTGCGCCATTCATTCGGTCAGGGCCGCACACCACCCCGGAAAGCTGAGTGAGTGACATTGGGAAGACGGAAGTGGAAGTTAAGATACACTAGGTAACGAGGTGACTGAGTGAATGACTGGAGAGTTTCCCGCAGTCAGATCTGACCGGCCTTGTCCAGCGCACAAATCGTCCAACTACAAATTTCCAAAGGGCAAGTGCAGAATTTTCTCCCATCTGCTTGACGTTGTCGGAAGCTGCTTTGTGTGCTTCCTGATGCAGTGAGGAAGGGATGACCGTCATGAAGTCGGTCCGGAGGGCAAGTCTGCCAGAGTCCAGACACAGAGCTGGCAGGAGCACTACAGGGACCTGGGAAGGAGCATAAGGTATGTACGCCGTACAGTAAAATGCAAGGGAAGGTCCAAATGCGAAATAAATTACAAAAGTGACATCTGCATATGCAAAGTTTCCGAAACTACACGTTAAACCTGACCAAGCTGTGCCCGCACAGTTAGCGTAAGATTGAAATGTCTGTTTAGCACATGGTCAGGCATCCGTTTCACTGAACCGCAGTCGGGTTCGGTTGCCAGTGCGCGATGAGTGGAGCCAGAGATGAACACTGTCGAATTGGTTCAATCACTGCAGAGCGCACTTTCCTCGTTTCTTTCTGCAGCTTCACTCACTGAGTGTCACTGCTACTGTGAATGTCTCCAGTCACGGTCCCTTCCTCTTCTTCAGGCTTCCCGTCCCGTCCAGCCCAGCTTAACATTCTCTCATCCATCATCATCAGTCCCTTCTTTCTTCACCCCTCTCCCCTCCCAGAGGCCAGAGGCCATCCCCGCCATTTCAAGCTCTGCCAAGATGCCACGGCCTTGGTCTTTCATCAGTTCCCATTCTGGGGTTCTCCAACCTCACGAGTCATGAAGGATGGCATTTGGATGGCAATTCTACACATACTCCTGGGTGTCGTCAAGTGGGAATGTGGACCTCACCATGCATTTTCCGATCCCTTTCCTGCTCACCACCTCAAGTACCCTTTCACCATCAGGATCGTGATCTCCATTTTCCTCCCCAAAGCCCCCCTTTGTTCGTCTCGCCGGCCACCTTCGGCGTGAAGATGACGGGAGCGTAAAGGCCTGAAGCCAATCAACTGCCGGGCAACACGGAGCAAGCCATCCTCCCAGTCCGAGATTGGACGCTGGTGATGTGCGATCTCGGCACCAGCCGCTGACTCCAGACGTCCCTCGCTCAATCAACTCCCCGTTAGCACCTACACTACACTCCAGCTACAGAACATCTCAGCTTACGCTATACGCTTGCCCGACGCTATGGCCATGCCTTCTATGGGACGGCGTAGACCTACCAGCTACCACCCACCACCCTGAGGTCCTTGGTTCGGGACCGCCTCCGACCCTCGCGCCAACAGAAAGAGACGGGCCCAGGTGCTACACACCAGCCGACGAGGCGACCAATCGCAAGCAGAACCCAAATTCCGACTAGGAGACTGGGTCGAGTACACCACGTACTGGTACATGCTCCTGCTGTGTGGGCTTGAAGACGTTCACTACGTGCAAACACAACAAGCCATCTTGAAGATGTGCTTCTGGCTGGTGCTTCTGGGTAGGACAGTTTCGATGCGCTTACATGTCGTATCGACAGACGAGAAAGAAGCATCACTTCTCGAATCATCAACAGTCAGGCACGCTTTCTCTCCCACTGGCCACGGGTAGAAGCTGGCTGATATGGCGTAGCGCCACCGAGACATAGCAATCACATATGCTGCGGCAACCTTCCCAAGGCTCGATCAGGGCACCCAACTGATGGCGACATTTTTCTGGTAGGGGTCTAGAGGGTCTCAGTCAAAGACTCACAGTGGCCACCTTGAGCAAAAAGAATTCACTACCTCTGTGTCCAGAACCCTGCCATGAGGTGGAAATTCCTTAAAACATCAACTACACAGCCTGAAGTCTACGATTCAAGCTCATGTTGGGAATACAGCCCGGTCTCCTCATTACTTGATGCACGTGCATTGCTCGTCCTTCGGGAGCAACGAAGAGACTGGTAATTCGCTAAACAGAAGGTGCACAGCG